ACCTAACAGCATAAAGATACACCCTGTGTTCTACGTATTATTGCTGCGCTAAGCAGCCTTTAAATCTAACTATCTACCTAGACAGCTAAACCTACCACCTAAACCTGTTATTATAAATAATAAACTAGAATATGTTATAAAAGACATTAAATAGATCTAGTTTAATAAAAAGAAATGTATTTATAAATACCTTATAAAATAGACTAGATACAACAAACTATTATAGAAACCTGTAAAAGCCTTGTAAGAGAACTCTGCAGTAACCTAATTCTACGCCTAATACCTATCTAAACTAAACCTATACTCTAATAAAGACAACTTAATGCTAGAACTACTAATGTAAAGGATTCCCTTTTTAATAAGGGGGGGAGTACTGTCACAGTATCCTCTCTAGATCCTAGACATAACTGTATTAGACGCGTACTAGAGTATTATTAGTGCACGTTTAACATAAACATAATATAATATAGATATAAACTTAAGCATAAACTGCCTTAACACTAACTAAACCTAAAATAGGCTTAATTTATACCTAAAGTGCTTAGACTTCTAAGCTAAGTATTTAATTACTAATTTTCTCTTAAACTTTCTTGTTCCTCACACAACGTCTTGTACCTACTATAATACCTCACATAGTAATTAAACTAGACCTCTGTGAAGCTCTATAACCTTACTCGTGCATAATTGTGACATAGGCGTAGGAGCTTTCTGCTTACCCTTTATTGCCTACTAGAGGTTATTTTTAAGCTGTTAATTAACCTGCTAGGTAAACTCTGCCTTCTCTTGTTAAGCTGCTTTTGTCTTAAGCTTCTGTAGGTAAGCCTTCTTTACTATTACTACTTTATGCCTCTTTTCTTTAACTGTGCGCGCCTTTTTAGCTTTCTTTACTTTTTTATACTTTACCTTTTTTTATTTTTAAAGCTATAAAGCCTTCTTTTTAGCATCTTTTTATACTTAATAATTATATGCTTTTTAGACCTTATTTAGGGACTAAAAGGTTGCACTACTATAATATTTTAAAGGTGCTTCTAGTAGAAGAGGCTTACTACACTAGCAGCGCTTCTTCTTATTAATTAGCGCATCTTTAACCTGCTTAAGCTTACGCTAGAGAAAGATGTAATACACTAAAAATAACTAAATAGTTTTTTTAAGCTTTTATATATTTTTTTTATAAAAATTACTAACAACCTTATTTAAAAAGCCTTTAACCTTTTTTTAATTCTTTGCACTAAGTGCTAAGCTAGTGCTTTTACTAGAGAATAGTTGCTTTTTTTACTTATAGTAAAATTAATCTAAGACTACTTACAGCTTAAATAGTAATAAACTAGTTACTTTAAAAGCACTAAAAATAGTTTTATGCTTAAAAAATATTTTCTAGGCCTTATTAAACATGCTATAAAAGTTTTTCTTTTTAATTAATAATAGTCTCTAGCATTTATCTATAAAGCTAGCTAGCTTAGCTAAGTAGGCTAACAAAAAAGGTTTAAACATGCAGACATTAAGAGGCTGCAGTGTATAGGTTGCATGTAGCAGGTATACAGCTAGAAGAATCTTATTATTGTTACAGTACTTAATAAACTCTATTAAAACATGTAATCTATAGCTATCTAAGAACAAAAGTTAGTACGCTTATTATGCCTTTACCTTAGTCTTATAATTAAACATATGTTTAAGCTATGCTAAGCCTAGTTTATTATTTATCTAACTTATAAGTAATAAAGTAAAGAAAGCTTAATGCTTAAAAAAGTTAAAATTTTATAGCTAAGAGTCTTATATATAGTTAAAAATAGCTTAGTAGATTAGTGTAAGCATAAGAAAGCTACTATTAGCGCAGATATAAGCTATTATTATAATTTACTTATAATTACTATTCTATATAAGCTGCTGCTTAATACCTTGCTTATACTACTATCTAGAGAAGATTTGCTTTATTTTTAATAGTACTCTAATTAAGAAGCCTTTTTTATTTATATTATAGGTATGCTGTGGTTCTATGCTATATTGCTTAATTTTTTTGCGTACAAGCTTAAAATATAGCAAGTACTTAAATGCTAAGTTAGCTTTGTTACGCGCAGCGTCTATGCTAGATGTCTATTAAGATAATAAGTTAATAGAGTGCCTTTTAATAAATTAATTAACCTAGCTTTTACTAGCTTACCTACTACTTATTTTTATTATAAAATTTTAAATTATCTGTCTTAAAAAGAATAGACCTTTTATGTAAAGCTTATTAATATACTCTACTAGCTCTTTCTTCTGCACTAGGCTAAGTAGTTACTAATTTTTAAGTTTCTCTGCACGCAGGCAGGTAACGCGTTAGTAACGCCTTAAAAGCGTAGATTAATTAACGCTATACTGCCTAGCTACTGCAGCATAATTTAGTAATTCTCTAGGTTTTAGCAATTTTAGTGACTCTAAAGCAGCCTTAATACTGCCCATATTGGTTAAGAGAGAGGTGGTTGAAGTTTTGACAGCTTCGCGCAGAACCATGCATTACGCGAGGCCGTGCATTACACGCTAAAACACAGTACTCGAATTCTGTAGAGTAGAGAGAGAATACATATTTTGTTTGAAATAGCTCTAAGATTTGTTAGGGTTTCTTCCTGCTAACCCATTCTTAAGAATATCGAGACGGGGAAGGACGACGGGCCGCTCCTCTCCTGACGTATCGAAGCCCACTGCGATGCTTACTTACGGCGTTCAGAGCTGACATGCCCTGGAAGGACCAAGCCCGAGTGGGAGTATAGATGTACGTTGGTAACCAGTGCCTTACATCAGCGCAGACGTATTGATGCGCAGCGTTCGCGACCCTGATTCTGACTATACGAGTAGGTAACAGCCGATGCTGGCATCCTGTTTTGAGAAGGGGCGACGACGGACAATATGACGTGGTGAGATGGATCCTGCCTGCTGCAGTATATACAACCAATCACGACCAAATCACTGTCGCAACGATAAACTTCTGTCCGAGTTTCTTCGATCTCGACACATGTAATGACAGAATGAACAAAAACATCAAGGGCTTTCCTGCCGGGTCCGAGGGACGGTTAGATCTGAATAATTACCAATGTCGCGGTCAGTATGGTTTTGTTTTGTTTCCTCTCGTCGTTCTTTTATCAAATTCCGAATCTCAACACCAAAATGTATCCAAGTACGACTACTGACACCACCAAATCCTAGGCTATGTAGCGCTCCACGAACTCTTCCATATTAACGCCATGCCCAGGGAAGTGACCAAACACCGCGTCAAACATATATACGACCCCACGATCAGAATCAGGAGCCCCGTCACGGGAGAGCCGATGAACGTCAAGGTGTACGGGCCTCAGTACACCAAGACGTTGGCTCAGTGGACCATCAATACAGGGCTCTGAGTCGCTACAAACGGTATGAAGCCATGAATGAACTCTCCATTCCATCCACTTGTACATGATTACTTTGATGATCTATTCCCCATCTGCCCCCAACCAAACCAACCTAGCACAATCCATACTAACCAAAACCCACACGGGGCCTACAGCCGACAACCTCGCCCAATACGCTCTCGCGGTGTGGGCAACTTCGCGCGCAGGCGACTACCCTCGATTTCCCGAAGTCAAAGACATAGACCGGCCCATAACATCGCCTACATCCTTTGGCGTGTTCAACGACAATGGTACCACCGCTCAATCGGTTAGGTTTAGTGAACTACTAAATCTAAAGCTCTAGGAGCTTAATAACTTACATCTGAGGTCTATTTATCTTCTATCAAATTTTTAAGGTGCAGATTGTTACTTTTTCTTAGTGAGTTTTAAGGTTGCCAGCTCACTTGTAAACCACGTTACAGAATTCACCATTGCACAAGAGTATAACCAGGGCGGTCGGTTCACTCCCCTTTAGGGTGGTGACGCAGTACATGAAAGCTCAGATGAATTCAAGGTTCTAGTGGCAGGGTAAGAGTCCAGCCGCGCCACCTAGCCCCACCTTTTGGTGGATGGCGGCGCAGTCGTGGCGCAGATCTTGGCGCAGATCTTGGCGCATAGAGAACGCATCCCTTCCTACTGCTAGCGGAGCAGAAAGAACCTTTGGATACTGTAGTTCACTAACGCCTGCGTGACATCTTCGGAAACTGAACATGCGATATCGCTCTCCACTACTGATCACAACCTCACTACATGGTCTGAAGTTTCCCATGCCATTTGCTGCGCTTGAGCGTAGGTACGAGCGCAAATTATGTCGTTTGGTGTCAGCCCGCTCGATGTTGTTGAGTTGGTGAAGTATTCTACCCGCATTTACGTTGCTTTTAAAGGTGGGAGCAGTAATCCAAAGATTACAAAAGCACTCCACTGATATTTCTGTAGATACGAAATATAACTCTGCGAGCGAGACAGAGGCTCTTATTAAAGAGTTCACGACTTTGCATCATTGTCTCATCCAGCTTGACGAGTTGATGAAGGAGTATGGCAAGCCGTTGCCCTTCCCAGGTCTTGACTTCTATGAGACTCTCCACAAATGCGAAAAGACCCTTAAGCCTTACACAAACAATCATGTCGACAACGAAAAGATGCCGGTAGAGAGATTCACGTACACAATTAAGCATATTGGGAAGGAGACAGAGCTTGATGAGCTCAGGAAGAAACTCATTGGAAATTACCAGGCGCTGCAAATGTGCATAAGCTTCTTACAGCTGTACGCATACTACCTTTGGCATGGCCTACGCTAGACTTCGCTAACTTCTGAAAGCCGACTTCGGCTAGAAGATGTAAAGCAAACCCAGCGTCTCCTTGATTGTGCTCCCTCAACGAGCTTCGGTAGGCAGATGTACTCCAATTATGCCCTTGACCCCAGTTCAGAAGCTAATCGCAATGCTCTTCCTGCACCATCCGAGGCTGAGAAGCTCTACAAGGACTGGGTTATTTTCAATCGCTCCCTTCAAAATGTAGACCAGAGGATGGCTTATGAGCGTGAAAGCCTCTCAAGACCACTACCGCTTGGAGACACTCCTACGAATGCTCCTGGCGGGGACGCTGAAACTGTCATGACCCTGTTTCATCTTCGGAGAGAGCTTGAAGATGCGATTGTGATTGAGGAGAACGAAGCGAAAAGGGTCACCGTGGAGAATCGAACGAATCTTTTGCCGGGCGATGCGATACTCCAGGAGGTCAGAGAGACGCCTTTCGTTCCTGCACGGACGTTTGGGTTGGATCTCGGTATGCCCCTGTCTGCTTTAAGCAAGCTTGAAATGAACGACTCGACTACGGCAGTTCCGCCCGTACCCACAACATCATCCGGTGTCTCTCCAAGTGGGGACCCACAAATCGAACAAGGACAATACACCGCCGTTAATTGGGGAAAACTCTCTCTGGACCCTAGTCGGACTCCTGTTTCTATAGGCTGTAGCGATCTCAGCACTATGATCCCCGAACCTGGTCTTAGTGATTTAGGGAGAGGTGCAGACGGCCTAACCCCTGAAGACGACCCTTTGAGGCCCAAGTTTTCTATATCTCGTCGAGCAACTCCATCCACTGGAGACGGTGCACTTGAATGGAGAAAGTTGTGCAGAAATGTTCAAGTAGAACGCAGAACAAGCAAAGGGGTTGAGAGCAAGGAGTGTGATGTGCATTGGCGGTATCGAGAGGACTATGGGTTGAGCTTACGATCGGTGTATCGGGTCAATATGACTAAAAAGGCACAGGTTTGGATAACCCAGCAGTTCCCCGCGACAGGCCCTTCAATTCCCCTCACAACGAGCTACCCTGATGGAGAAATATCAATTGGCTTTCCGAGACGCTCTTTTGGACGTCTCGAGAAGAGATACACTGACATCATGTATACTTTCAGCGACCAAGAATCCTCGACGTGCTTCCAAACTTTTTTGTACACAAACAACGGCAAGGATAAGGCAGATTTGCTCTTCGATCGACCCATTCTCACCATTTCTTCTGATAAGAACAAGCCGGAGTGCCGTCAGAAAAACATTAGGCTGTGGAAACGTAGCGAAAAGCATCAAGATCTCGATGGGATCAAAAATGTTGATATCTTGGTCTTACTCTTCTATACCAGCGCATTACCAGAAGATCGGTCCCATTGGGTTGAGGAACCTCACTACGCCTTTCAACAGCTAGACAATTCCATCTATAAGAGGAATAGCAGGAAGCTTGAATTGCTCTTTTTAAATGAGCCGGCAAAGCGGTTTCGAAGGCTCTTTAAGAAGAGGGCAGGTTCCGGAGGCGTCGAAAGAAGTGGCGAAAATCCTGGCACCCCTACGAGGATGAACAAAGGGGCATCCGGAGCGCTATCTTCGTCCATTTCCATCAAATCATCAAATTCAGAGCTATTTGAGTTACCGATTCGCACCCGTAATCTCAACCGGTTCGGGTTCTCCAAGTTTGATATTGAATTCCAGAGTAAGAAGGATAGGAGTGAGTTTTTGGCCATATGGAAGCATTTCACGAAACCATTTTCCCCAGAGGGCCACTCGTGGTTTTCAATGACGAGCCTGAAGTCTTCTATTAGCGAGGATGTGTCTCCAAGACATGAAAACCACACCCAGTCAGCACAGTACTCTCCGCATGAAAGGCCCAGAGAGTTCCAGCAAAAGGAATATATAGATATATTAGGACAACGGAATTACCAGGACCATACTGCTCTGGGAGGTCCCAGAGAACGTAAGGAATGGGACTTGGAAGCTTCTATATTACCTTTGGGAGAGGATTCTGGAAAATCCCAAAGCAACAAAGTACCGCCCCGAGGGCTGGTTGAAAATATAGATGAGGAGCTTCGGTCCTCTCTGGCCTTTCAGGATTCGAGGCGTATCGCTGACGACACTCCCCGAAAGATTCCGCAGCTCTCAAAAGACGTTAGCCTTGATAAAGAAAGGGAATCTGTGGCAAGTCAATCATCATCCAGCGCTAATGTGGAAGAGCACTCAGCGCCCGAGGCGGATATGTGTTCCGAATGCGAGTTAGTAGGCACACATCTGCTCACCGAGCGCAAGAACCTAGGCAGTGAAGACTGGAAGGACGTCCGGTCCCAGTTGCCTGAGCCTTGGATGTGGGATGTTGACTACCACAGCATTCCAAATATGTCAGGCGAACATCGGGGTTGCTGGACATGCTCGCCAATGGGCTCTGATGATCCTAAGGACTTCCCACTCACTATTGCCGGAGCTCCCGTTGTCATACCTGTGGAGTATCGATGGCCACTAGCTGCAGGCGTGAATCCACCTCCAGATCCACGGCCCTCTGCTCCGATCAACTGCGCCGCTGAACTTCGGCTGGAGGTAATTCGAGATATCTTCCTCACCTTTGAGGGCAGTATCGGATTCTATCTTCTGGTAAATGGCCTTATCCAGATCATAGTCCCTGAAGAGTTTGATATAGAATGGGCTTCATCACATCTTCCACACAAATACGGTGGTCTGCGAATCTGCTACATCCCACAATCGATGACGCCTACGATGGTTACTTCCGAAACGGAGACTATGCAATCCGAGACCTCACAAAGCTCTGGGCTTTCTAGTGCGCGTAGACTCTTCCGACCTTCGAGTACAAGTTTTACTCAAGCACTCCACCTCAATGACTTCATCGAAGCACACACAAAATCTACACTTAAGGAGGGCAAGTTCGCAGGGCGTATTGGGCTTAGAACTAGTAAATGTGGCAATCCCTACATTCTGATGTCTACCCATGTTATTACAGAGGCCATATTGGCGAAATCACACCACCTATCAATCTTTAACAGGAGGCGCAATGCATATGAGAATCTCGAACGGGATTGGAACGAATGCGTTGAGATCTGGGCTGGCAATGAAAAGGTTTGTACTCTCAAGAGATAGATACCGACAAGAGCCTTGCTGATAAATGGTACAGATTGGTACAGTCGATAAGTCCTTTGATGCCAATGCAGGGGTATTTCCAAATGGCTTCATGCACGACATTACGCTCATTAAGCCGACCATTCCAGCTGCAGTCAAGGACATCAAATCGCCTATATCAGATATTAGATGGCTGTCAAGAGAAGCATGGAGTGATCTGCGACGGCGAACTAGTGCTGTCAAGATCCTTGGAGACACGGAAAATCGTGCCGCGAAGACCCTGAAGACAAATTGTGCTTCAGAAGTACTAGTAAGTGTCCACTGTTGCCCGCGTTCTCAAAACTTGCTAACATAAATAAGGTCATTGGCGAAGGCGTGTTCCTTAACCAACCCGCTTCCTCAAAGCCCGCCCGCGAACACGACATCGGCACTTGGAAAGGCCTAGTCTCACGCAGCCTTCTTTATCGAGTTCACAGAGATTTCGATCCACCGAACGGATATAGTGGTATCGCGCTCTACGCAGATGGGCTTCGCGAAGACGGAACGACAGGACCCGGTATTGTTGGATTTCAATCCTTCGTGCAAAGATCTGGTCATGTGCAGAACTTCGATATGGAAGGCAGCGCCCTCAATACGAGGCTAAAGCTAGGAAGAGTGGCGTTTTATGGGGCTTTTCAGGTTCCGGATGAGTTAAGGAGAGAGCATGTTATCGCTTGAAAGGATATTTAGGTTGGTATCGTTTGTTTGATATATGATGATCTTTAAAACAGTTTGGGGAGAATTTGATTGCAATTAGATCAAAGAAGCGCGAGACTTCCGTGGCCGCGTAGCTAGTTTCCCATATCCTAGTGGTATAGAGCAGTGGTTCACAGCTGAGTAGCGAGCGATAGCTGGTGAGCCACACCGTATCGCCAGTCTTGTTGCTCGTTGTTGCACACATAAACCAACATTCAATTCGTTAATATTATCACAGCCTCGCACACAGGCTGACCCCTACTCACACTTCGCGCTTGCATCCCGGTCGTCTTTTAACATCGTATCCGCTGCTAGGCCTTGCGTCGCAGCAATCTCTTTGATCACGGCGTCTAGTTCATATGAATCAAATCGTTCTTGGACCCGGCTCTTGATCGTCACGCAGTGTCTCTGTTTCTGAAAAATACTGTTCAACAGCAGAACATATGCGTCAGTGAACCTAGGCTTCTTGTCTGCAGCAATTCCGCGGAACAATCACTACTCACCTACCGTTCTGGTGCCTCAATTTATGTTAAATTAGTTGCAGAACTTGTTAGGAATTTCGGGTCAATGGTATTCATTAGTTGCTTCAAAATCTGAAGTGCTGGAAGGTCACAGACGCTGCCCCCATAAAAGCGAGCAGGCGATGGTAATACTTCGGCATGGCTGGACGGATGGGTAGGATGGCTCGGCGAAGTGGCTAAGTTAGATAAGAAATATGTAGCAGCATGGATATGATTCCACAAGGCCCCGGAACCGCACATGGGATGTAGAAAGTGTTGTGATCCACCTTTAGCTCGAGAAGGCTGAGTGTGCATGCGGTGCGTCTGCGATTGTCAAATCTCAGTGCACTTTAGGCCGCTAGGAGAGACGTCTAGCTGAGGCGGGCGACAGTTTCCTCATGAAACTCAAAAGGTCAGAAGGTGGCGGTGGTCCTAATGCTGAATACAGTTAGCAAACCGTAGCAAGAAGGCAGCGGACCCGATCTGGCCACACACTTGTCGCGAGAGGGTTTTGACATAGATGACGAGAAAGGTGCGATACATCGAAAGTAGGTGCAGATGGCTCTAGAAAGCCCCAAAGTGGGCACTTGACAGGCCTAGGGAATTAAACTAGAAATAGCTACTCTCACATAAGCCAAAGTTTCTAGCCCATTAGGATAACTCCCCTCGCTACCATTTGTGAAGCTAGGAGGGATACGCATGGCATTGAGAATTGAATTGATTGGTAAACGAGCGAAAGCTCAGCTCTATAGAGTGGTGGCAATACGATAGAGCGATAGAGTGCCAAAGTCCCAGTCGCGAATGAAAATCTAGGGCTGACACAGGGTAGTGTCAAGGCGTGAGTCTATACTTAGTGCGGAATATAGTGTGACTCTTACAGTGTAGTGGATGAGACATCTCGTGAGTACGAGCAGGCTATGAAGCCTAGAGAGCTCCATAACTGGATCTACCATTAGAAACTGGATATAGTTTGCCTTTGGTGTATCTACAAGGAACGTGGCGAATCCATCTGGATTGCCTTGAATTTGGCTGCTCAGCCCCAGTGCAGCGGCAAAATGGTCGATGAGCGACTACTCGAGATTGTGGAACGACGGCGCTTAGCGGGAAGTATTGGGAGCAGGTCAATGAAAAGACTATAGACTGCGGCCGGGAAGGAAGGGGAAGAGGGAAACATGAATGGATATGTGCTTGGAATATTTCAAGGGTAGATGCACTCTGACCGTTGAAACGCCGCATGGAAGCCTCACGCTAGGAACTGGAGTCGGATATGGAAGTGCACGTGTCTACATCGACTGTGTATATCTCTTACGTCTAAGCCAGTATTGAGGTAAGGCATGACCTCGGGGTGTTAAAGTATAGTAAAGTAGTACAGGCCGTTCTTTGTCACGTGACATAGTTTAGTCATCCGGAGCGGTAACTACCACTCATCGGATGCGGACCTCCACTCCTGTCATTGCTCGCGACTCAGACCGCCGCACATGACGGGAGTAGCACACGACGTCATGCCACCCTTCGTCTCCCGTATGGCCCTTGCGTGCATGCCAATCGCTCGACTCGGGCCTAATAATGCGGGGTTTGGAGCTGGAGCATAGCAGTCCAAAGCCGTATAAAAGCTGATGGCGCCGCGATGCTTGTGAGCGCTCAATTGGTCTCTACTAGGAAGAAGCTATGTCAGAGTCACTCAAAATTGCTAAGAACCGCCTTTCTGCTGTCGCTTCGACGTTAACCGGAGGACTGGTAGGGCCTAGCCACCAGCTTCCGGCCTTTGACGATCTGCCAAAGGTACTCGGACAGCCACAGGGATGTATCTGGGGTGTCTTCGATAAAGATGGCAAGAAGGATGAGGTTGGAAGTACTTGTTCCCCGGGACGCCTACTTTGCTTGAAATAGTGCTAATCAAAGCCATGTGTAGCCCTCAACCTCCTTACCCCTTCTGTTGTACAAGCAGCAAGTCGCGAGATTCAATCTGGCGAGCATGTCCAGCTCGATTGGCCCCTCAACAACGTCCAGTTCCCCGGGTTCGGACGCAAGGAGTTCAACCAAACGATGATCGACTTGAAGCCGAGTTTGGGCTTCGCAGCCATGGACGACGAAGTTTACATCAACACGCAATCGGGTAGTCAATGGGACAGCTTAAAGCACTTTGCGCACCAGGCTACTGGGAAATACTATAATGGGTTGACTCATGAAGAGGCGACCAAAACTATCACAAATGGCATTCACAACTGGTGTGAACGGGGTGGCATTGTTGGGCGAGGAGTGCTTGTGGATTGGCTTCGCTGGTATGAGAATAAGCACGGGAATCCGCCATCCCCCGTCTCACGGTATGCAATACCGGTGGAGGAACTGGAAGAGACGTTGAAGTGGCAAGGCACGACTACCCGACCTGGAGATATCATGATGATTCGAAGCGGCTATGTTCGATGGCATGAGTGAGTACCTAACGCTACATATGCATCTTTGCAAGAAGTATGCTAATTTGAATAGCAACGCTTCTGCCGCCGAGCGCAAGAGCGGTACGCAAGAAAATAGCGTCGCCATTGGTATGCAAAACGATGAGAAGTCCGTCCGCTAGCTATACGACCACCACTTCGCTGCCGTAGCCGGTGACACAGTTGCCTTTGAAGCATGGCCCCCTTCTTTAGAGGATGGCTGGTGCCTACACGAATGGCTTCTCGTGCAATGGGGCACTCCTATTGGGGAGATGTGGAATCTCGAAAAATTGTCCAAGATTTGTGAGCAAAAGGGACGATGGACGTTTTTCTTGACAAGCGCACCTCTGCATATCATGGGTGGTATTGGAAGTCCCCCTGGAGCTATTGCTGTTTTCTAAAGTGCCCATTCTTCGCCGTCATTGATAGCATTAAGCCGCAAAGTTTCCTGATACATTGCGCAGGGCTAGGCAGATCCGGTGTCAAAATGACGCAAATCTGAGTTCTACTGGACCAGGTCTTCTCAAGCATTGTTACAACAAAGCCTGCTACACTAACTCATAAATCCAGACCCGATCGCGGAGAACAAGCCACTTTCTATATATTTTACGAGAAAGAACTGCTGAAGACAAAGCTTTATGTAAACCAAAGGGTCTCGTTCGTTCTTTGGTGGCTGTCGAACACCTCACACTAGTCAGATTAGGCAAGAAGATCCGATTCAGGGCTTCCAACGAGGCGTAGTACTGTACGATTGGGCGATTTTGAGGCCTGTACGGGTGAGATTTTGTGTACGTTCGTACGACAGGGGGGAGGAGAGGTAGGTGTACGTATCGTAACTGTTACGGCTCACGTGATCTGTACGAGTAGTACGATTCGATTAAAGTACGCCGTACTCTAGTCGAAACAGCTAAGACTATGGGTCTCTAGAGACGCAAGATTAAGGTCTAATTAACTATAAAATAACTAGTTCTCCCTAGTAACAAGAGCAGATAGGACTAGATGAGGCCTGTAAGGCGGCAAGAGGCGTGGATAGATAACTCTGGAATAGAAAATGGTCTGTAATAGGCATTTTTGAGACATCCGTACTACGTACCGTACCTAGGGCATCATTAATCGTACGGTACGGCTCACGAACTCGGTACGTTCGTACTGAACACGTGACCGTTACGGTTCACTTTGTACGGACCGTAGTACGGCCCGTTGGAAGCCCTGATCCGATTTCGCACCTCAAAGTTCAGCGCACCGGCAACTCAAATGCCAAAAAGCGTTGCCCCCATGGGCTACGACTTAAATGCGATTCCGCAACTAATTGAACTTCCTCGCGTTTTACCTAACTCTCGTATCGACCACTTGGACTCTGAGGTAAGAACGGCATTCGCGACCACTTGATGGAGACACTGGCGCGGAAGGAAGACTTGCTTTTTATTCAATAATTTTAGTAAGAGAAGGAGATTCTGCAATGTCTAAAGAGACCCTGCCAACATCTAGAGGGGTTGAGAAAAACACAATTCTCTCTAACTCTACAACTCCACACCCATTCAACCCACTGCCCGTAAACGAGGCTACGCCTTTTCATCCCACCTCAATTCCGCCGTCATGGCCATCATTTTGGACCCGATTGAATAAATGGAACAGCAAATTTGAAGCCCTAACCGGTGTAGAAAGCCGTGGAATATCTCGAGTCTCCCTCTCCGAACGCGAGCCTACCACCCCATTTTCTTACCTCCAAATCGCGCTTCTCTGGGTATCGTGTGATCTAACCGCAAACGGCATCACGCTCGCTATGTTGGGTCCTCTCGTCTTCGAACTCTCTTTCGCTGACTCTACACTCTGCTGCGTGTTTGGTGCAGTCATAGGCTCCATCGGTCCAGCATATATCAGCACCTGGGGCCCGAGAAGTGGCCATAGGACCATGATAGTTGCGCGCTGGTTCATGGGATATTATCCTGCCAAACTGACGACCGTACTGAGCTTGTTTATAATGCTGGGATATGGGACGATAAACTGCATTATCGTAGGCCAGATTCTTTCTGCTGTAAATGGCCACGGCCTCTCTCTCATCCCGGGGATCCTCGTTGTCGCTGGCATCACTCTTGTAGTAGCTGTCTTTGGCATGCACGCTTTCCACGCCTACGAGCGATATGCCTGGCTCCCACAAGTCTTGATCCTCTTCATTCTCGTCGGCTCCGCAGGCCCAGGCTTCAATACCAGCATCTCAAGCACAGGCTCTACACCCACAATCATCGGCCACAGGCTCTCATACTTGACTCTCTGTATGAGCAGCCCGCTAGCCTGGTCCGCTAGCGCTGCAGACTACTTCGTCTACTACCACCCAACTACACCAAAACGCTATATAGCAGCCTCCACCTACATCGGCAACGTCCTCGCATTCTCCTTCGCCTACGTCCTCGGTGCTGGTCTCGCAAGCGGCATATCTACTAACCCCATCTGGTCCACCGCATATAAGAACTCCCAAGGTGCGTTGATTCTCGCCGGATTCTCAGGCCTCGGCTCCTTCGGCTCTTTCTGCGGAGTTGTGTTAGCGCTCGGCATCATCGCCGACAACATCGCAGCCACGTATTCCGCAGGCCTGGCATTCCAGATGCTGGATCATCGAATTGGTAGGGTCCCGCGATGGATTTTGACGGCGGGTTTTGTGGGATTGTATACTGCGTGCGCGTTGGGGGGCCGGAAACATCTGTTTGATATTTTTCAGAATTTTCTCGCGCTCATGGGATATTGGACGGGTTTCTTCTTTTGTATTGTCGCGGAAGAACATACCCTTTTCCGAGGTGTGAGAAATATGAAGGCGAGAGCGAGAAACGCGAGGAGTGAGGAGGGGTATGATGATGGGTTTGATTGGAATAGCTGGGACGATTGGAAGAGTTTGCCTGTTGGTGTAGCGGCGTTGATAGCGTTTTTGATAGGCTGGGCGGGTGCGGTGGTGTGTATGAATCAGGAGTGGTATGTAGGACCCATTGCAAAGATGGTGGGGAAGGATGGGATCGATTTGGGGTTGTGGGTCGGGACGAGCTGGACGTTATTATTGTATCCCGTGTTGAGAGTATTGGAGATTAGGACATTTGGACGATAGGGCGTTGGCCCATCCTAAGGGTTTAATTTATAAAGGATTTTTAGGATTTAGTTCCAGGCGGGTTCGATGCGATATGCTATGCCATCTACAGCTAGGTGTACCCTGTCGAGTTTTAAACCACGGTCTGTACCACGGTCCACTTAAACACCATTCTCATTTAGTCTAACCTTCTCAATAGGGTCCTTCTCCTCTCCAACAAGCCCCTCCTTCCTAATCGAACTCGCCCTCGAAAGCTCATGCGCCATCTGCCGGATGTAAGCCCTTCACACCATGTAAAATATGGTTCGGAACAACAGCTCCTTCCACATGATGATCGTAGTTTGTATCCTTGATACGATAAATCCCCAAGTAATGAAAACCCGCAACATCGAGAGTGTAGAACAACAGCACCCCACCAGCCTCCGCAATGAACGGAATTTTGATGGAAGCAGACGGGTTCTCTAGCGCCGAGAACGCCGCGGAAGACGCCGATGTAGTGGGTAAGTTTTGGGGGGGGAATTGGTGAATGCGCCGATCCAGTAGTAGACGATGTTGTGCCAGAGTTGGTGCGAATTTCATTAGGTGCGCTATTTTATTAGAGAGAAGTTTGATGACATACGCAGAAAACCCAAGTCATTTTGAAGAGTACGAAAATCTAGCTAAATCTTGGCTCATCCTAATCGGTAGGATGTTCTGGCAAGGAATTGCGATTGTAGTTGCGGGTGCGAATCTGAAATGCCATGAGCTAATTTGTAGGTGTGAGAAGCAGCTTCTTCCAGCTTACCATTTCCCAAATCCAAGCAGCTAACATAGGGATGGCAACGATAGTCAACCCAACCAACCCGCGCTTCCCACGGCCCCAATACGGCCGATCGGGAATCCATTGCAGACCCCATCCAGCCGGGGTCTGGAGGCAAACGGCGATGAACGAAAGTAGCGAACGAGTCCGAAGATTATTGAGATGCGTCATGGTTCGTCAGCCAATTCCAATTCCTACTCGATGCTAAATTACTCACCATTGACAGAGCCACTGTAAACCAAGAAGCACTCCGCAGGAAAGAAGGTTGGGAACATAATAAGAAGAGTTGGATCTGAGAGGATCTCTAAATCCAGCTTAAGCTCTCCCATGCTGGTTTTGGGGGATGGACAGCGACGATGGACCTATCGTCTCGCCTTAGCTTCTGAGGTGGGGGTAGGAGAAGCTCAACCAGACCACCAATGATCATAATAACCACGAAGGCTATGTAGACTAGCCGGGGCACGCCGACCACGGTATCCGTATTCCTGTTAATAATGACCGGAATAATGCCTCCAATGACAGATCCCAAAGTTTGTAAGTTCTTCAGCATTGTTGCGTATGATCCTTTTCTCTTTCTTCGGGATATCCAGTATCGACGTAGCCCGCTGTGGTAAACACCACTCCTGCACCAATACCGATGATAGGCTCAGTGGCACAAGAATATCCTTTCTTGGCCGTCTCATCGTAGTACCGTGATCCAACGTATACGACGTACGTCTGGACGCCAATTCACATGGTAATACTAGGACCGAGGTTATTGAGGATGGAACTACCGAATGAGGATAAGAAGAACCAAGCCGAGCATAGGGTCGCGTTGACGACTTGGACGACTTGAGCAGAATCTGGACGACCACCGCCAGCTCCAAGTAGGTTGAGGGTACGTACATCCCCGCTGATGTGCCCACACAGAGACCGCCGATGATATTCTCTACCCATGGGCTATAGTAGTGAAGCTGGGAAATTTCAAAAACCCCATCGTGGACGCCTGCAGCGTGGAATAGTACACATGTAACGGAGAGATAATTGAAGAAGGGAAAGCTCGCGAAGTGAGGCGACAACGAAGTAAATACGGCGTAGCGACGTCCAAGAGAGTGGCCTTATGAGGTGGTGGGAAACTAGGAATTGGCGCGGGTGGGTGCCAAAATGGTCACGCTTGGTTTGTGCATCTCTTCCCGGGTGTTGATCTTTATCGTGAATGGTAATGACGTTCGGGGTCCTGGCGGAAATACGCCCGACTAACTAGTCGAAATTCGGACTTGAGTAGGCTTTTTTGATGGGCCCAATTCTGTTGATGGGAATAACATACTAGCGTCTTATGGAACGGTGAGATAAACCATTTCCCCGCCTTGGCTCCCAGACATTTTGTGTCTACTGTGTAGAGTCCTGTACCTATGGGAATGCATTGGCACATCTCGTGCGAGTTAATGAGCTTCGAGAGTAACGAGCATGAGTGTATTCATTTACATCAAGATCGGACAGAGGTTATTCGGAGAAACCCAGACGACATCAAAGCTAGGTGCACGGGAAACGCCGGGGTTGCAAGAGGGTCACGTGGAATTTGCTGTGGGAACGGGCGGGTGGAGTACCGAACGGCTCAGTACGGAATGAGACGTAGGACTTTAAACTGGAGGCCGCACAATATTTTCGAGAGGACATCTAAAAGCCGAGATTCTGTTCGCGTATTTCCGTCCAGCTTTATCTGAGATCCCTTGATAGGGATGGCTTAATGTCCTGCCGCTTGGCTTTGACTCGGCTACCGCGTGCATGAAGGAAAGCTGAAGTGGCTAATCCCAAACCTGACGACAGCTGACATTGATTCGCTTCGTCCCCATGTATCCCTTCCACTTCTTGTACTCTTTCTCCTCTTCCGGCGTTGCAGCCGGAGTGCCCACTGGCCAACTTGCCAGGTGTGAGGGGCAGGTGCCCGGTATCGTGCGTGCCATGGCATGCCATGCCCATCGAGCTTCGCCGTCCAGATGCACGCAGTCGCCACTATGAACTCGAATAGCCAATGTCCGAGGAGCGGCCTCCCCTTCGCCCCCATCTTCTCCTCTGGCCAGGATGAAGATACCGTCACAACCTACACTAAAGCTAGCAAGGGCACGTTCACATTGCTCGCTAACATCTCGATGAACCGGCATAAAGCCTTTTGCGCCGTATATGAGGACAACGCCAGATTCGGGCTGTATGTGAGGAAACAGCCCAGTTACTAGTTTAGACAGATCCTCCGGGAAGTTCGTGGCGTGTTTGGCATAACTGCGAGTAGGCCAGTCATACTGCTCCCCCAAAGTGAGCCAGCGTAGTTTGGTATAGAGAAACTGCTCGTTGTTCAACGGCTTGTGGTTCTCAGCGAGCCTAGGGAGAAGAAGGTCTGCGGTCGCAGCACGATCGCGAGCAAAGAAAGAAGTGTTGAATCGATGAGATTTGGCATTGGAGTTGATTTGCGGTGGGTACGAGATGTTATAGTCGGCCTGCAAATTGATCTTGTGCGCTGGATTGGCTAGATCTCGGTGCATCAAGCATGACGTGAATAAAATCTGAGTCTCCGGTGGCAGTAGACCTGGGATGACTCGCAGCCCAGGGAAGTCTCGGTGCTCGAATATAGGCGCGTCTTTGACAGGGTGGAGAAGGGGTTGATCGTCGTTGTAGGCTATACAAGCCGCTTCAATCTGTGATGCCGAGACGCAGCCAGCTGGCTTCCACAACCGCTTTTGTTCGTCAGTGAAGCTTTGGTGCTTGCCTAAGTCGAACACGTTTTGATCGCTCTCAAGTTCTGTCTTTCTCATGGTCTGGTACATCCAATGCGCTTTCTGGATGAACATTGGAGGCTGAGCATATGTATCATGGTGCATTGAAGCCTTTGGTACCCTAAATTAGTGAGACTGATCATCCTTGGGCCACATGACATACGAACTTTGTTGCAGGCGGCCGTCGTCAGGTCCATGGCGAGTAGCTGGTTGCTCTCAGTTGAAGTTAAGAGTCGTGTTCGTGCCGTTCTTAACGTTGGTCTAGAGAAACAGCAAGGAAATAGTGTCGGAATACGCATGGATCGTGAGCACAAAGACACACGAAACGTAATATTTATAGCAGTTGGTTGATGGTTCGAGTCTGAGGGGGAAGAGATTCTTCTAAGTTCTTGGTAAGTGAGGCGCACGGACCAATCATCTATCGATAAGCTCCTAAACTCTTACCCATACCACTCAAACTGTTCTTACACTTTATTATAAAAGAGCCATTCATATATCCCTCCCTAACCCTAATTCTATAGATCTTAGCTTGTTTGGAAAGTGTTAAATGATTAAATTTGATCATGCGGGTTTGGGCGGCTGGGGGCAGAACGCCCGCTACAGCTCTTTGATCCTCAAATTCGGCGAAGATACGACAGTCCGACTTTTCGAATCAATGTCTGGAGTGACGCACTCTCTAATCTTCCAGAATTACTTCAGGGCATGGGCGTGGATTTTCTCTGCTCCTTTGAGGCGCTATTCTTCAGAGTAACCTGGATTTTGTCGGAAAACTCCACATTCAACTTGACTATAGCTAGAGACCAACCAGATTAGAAAAACTCGGACTATATTCATTGCTTGTATCTCTAGAACCTGGGATGAAAAGTGCAGAGTTAGAGGAGCGGTGCGAGGATTTTGATCGGATTAACTGCTCCGACAATATAAATACAGTAATTTTGAATAAGTCAATCGTTTTCACAAATGAGAGCTACGGTGGTATGCTTCCACTATTGCAGTGATCGAGACTCGTAGGGCTGGTCACCTTATGTAATTGCTGCCCCTCGTTGGACCTTGGGTCAAGGCCAATGTTAACTACATTGTGCATTGAAAATATCACCTCAATCTAGACAGTCCTCCTTTTCCCCTATCCGCTGCTAGACTTGAGGGCTGGACGCATTAATACAGTGCGCCTAATGAAGGCAAATTCTACAAGACTCCGGTATCCAATTATATACACCTCTCTAAGTTACTTTTGGGGTCCTCAGTCGATGCTCGCACTCGGTTTAAGACTGAGGCATCAACAATCGAAGGTCTAAAGATAGATGTCTCGTGGACACACATGTTCTGCGCCATGCAAGACTCTCTACAGGTTGCTCAAGCATTATGCCTTCGATGCCTTTTAGATTGATGCTGTCTGTATCGTACAAGATGACAAGCAACATTGGGAACAAGATGCTGCGAGCATAGGCCTTGTCTTTAGCAACGTCCATTACAATATACGCCTTAGGGTCTTCCCCATATTGCTAGGGCTTTCTAGACAGACCTGGCCCACCGTATCTATACCATTCTTGACCACCATCTCTCCTTCAGTCAAAGTTACATGCCCTCTTCGTGCGTATGCTTCGAAACAGCATCTAAAGGTGCTCCAGGGCTCTGATACCATAGATCATAAAGAAAAGCCTTGGCTGATTCAAGTGTGGATCTTCCAAGAGTATGAAATCTCAACAAGAATACTATTTTTTTTTGGAAAATTGCGCATTCACTCCACTCCTCCAGATCACACTTAGATGGGAGGTGACAACGTTACCGACATTTACTCGTAGTCCTTTCAACAGGTAATATGAGCATTCAAGCACGGAGGGATGGACAGAGCAAAGCGCTACTAGCAATGTCTGGTCTTGCAAATCTCACTTCCCTAGAAAGGGGCGATATGTATTTTGCCGGGTTCTGGAACTCAGATCTCATCAGCGGACTCTGGCCATATTTTAAGACTTTTGAACAAGAAATCTTTAATCACAACCTTTCAGTCTCTTCATCGGAGACATCTCTCAGTCCCTCTTAGAATTGTGATGCCCAAACGCAACTGTTTGCTTACGTTCACTCTCTATTCCTCCTAAACAACGATGATGACTCCCAGCCTGAATGCGAAATATCCCGTGCCTCGTCAGATTCTGCTAAAAGGGAACTGAATCCATTTGGCAGTGTCGAGAATGGCAGACTCTCTGTATTTGTATTGACCGCGGACTTAGAACGAGTCTATCCAGGACAGCTGCGTTTAAGTTTGGAAAGTTGAGATGAGGGAACTCTAAACTATTATAACACTACTAAAGACTTACTACTACATCTATACTAGTACTATAAGAAGATACTTTGTAAAACATAAGTACTACACTTTTTAGGTATGTTATAAGCCTTAGCTTTTAGCTGTATATAAAAAAACTTTACTTTACTTAAGTTTATTAATATAGTAAGAATAGTAATATAACTTAGGTAGCCTGCTATAGTAAAGCAATATTAAAGTTAGATTAGATACAAAACCTCTATATATACATTAGTAGCATAGAAAAGTGTATAAAAGTTAATATCTAAGGCCTACGTTTAAGTTAGTAGAACTATAGTCTTTATATTTAGTGTAATAGTGCTAGTAATTACTACTAGATTCTGCATAATATTAGCATCCTATTTTAGAAGCAGCTTATAGAGAAACGCAGTATTAGCATATAAATGCAGGATAGAGCTTCTATTTATACTATAAAGGCTACTTAAAAGTATATAGACAACAATAGTATAATATTACTAAATTAGCTTTTAACGTACTTCACAGGCAAGTTGCTTACACACCTAAGTTGCTTACTTTTGCTAAGACCCTACTAAACTACTTTTTCTACACTAATGCATTCCCCACAACACTACTTAGACGCGCTAAAAGAATGTTAGATACAGCTTACACTTTAAGCTTTTAAATAAGACATAAAACTTTTAAAGAAATGTGCTATAGCTATATATAAAGTTTTATAAAAAATAATAAATAACTATAGTACTAGATAACCTTTATAAGCTAATTCTATAGCTAAATTATAAAGGCTAAGTAATAAAAAAAAGCAGGTAATTATTAAGACTATACTTAAGCTATATACATAAGAAATTTCCCCTTAGATAGCATTTATAGCTAATATAGCTAATTTTTTACACGCTAAGCATAATCTAGGCTATGTTTACATAAACTAGCCTAGTATGTTTATAAAGCGTTATTTAAAGCTTAAAGTAAAGTTTTAAGTATAAGTATAGTTAAAAGATATCTAGCTAATTATAAACTCTACTTTGCTAAAGTTATATATGTTATTATCTTAAATGCTATACTTAGCCTTAATATTCTTTATAAGGCTAAACTAGCTCTAAATTACTTTAGAACTCTTATAAAAAGCTTTTTTATAGTTATACTTACACTTAAACATTACTTTAAGCTTTAAATAACACTTTATAAACATACTAGGCTAGTGTAACAATTCTTGTTCCATCTCGGGTCGCCCGGAACCCATCCGAAGGGTCCCCGTATTGGCTCTGACCCTAGCTCGACCCTAACTCGACCTGGCCCCGACTCTGCCCTGCCCCCTGCTGTTACCCCTATTCCCTCATGTATTTAGTCGCACCTCGCCCTGTAGCTAGCTTGGTAGTTTTCTAATATCCTACGTACAAGGCCTATAGGTGTCATTAGTATTCCTAGGTCTCTAAGTCCCCACGCACTCCTATATGCCTCTAAGTAGATTTATACTACATTTAGACCTATTGTCTTGCCTACGCTGTTACAGCTAGTTTATGTAAACATAGCCTAGATTACGCTTAGCGCACAAAGAATTAGCTATATTAGCTATAAATGCTATTTAAGAGGAAATTTTTTACGCATATAGCTTAAGTATAGTCTTAATAATTACCTACTTTTTTTTATTACCTAGCCTTTATAATTTAGCTGTAGAATTAGCTTATAAAAGTTATCTAGCACTATAGTTATTTATTATTTTTTATAGAACCTTACATATAGCTATAGCATATTTTTTTAAGAGTTTTATGTTTTATTTAAAAGCTTAAAGTGTAAGCTATATCTAACATTCTTTTAGCACATCTAAGTAGTGTTATAGGGAATGCATTAGTGTAAAAAGGGTAGTTTAGTAGGGTCTTAGCAAAAGTAAGCAACTTAGGTGTGTAAGTAACTTGCCTGTGAAGTACGTTATAAAGTTTTAATCTAAACTAAATTAAAAACTTTTAGTAGATTATAGAGCTTTACATTTTAAAGTAATAAAAATATATTACTACTTATTAGCAGATAGTAAATATCCTTAAAAAGCAGTAGGCGAAGATTACACTAGCTTGTTATAGAAAGTATATTCTTAGTTAAAGCGCAAAGAGGAAGTTATCTAAAATACAAGTACATTAACTTAGTATTAATTAGCTATAACACTAAAAGGTAGGCCTAAACATAAGCTTTTTATAAAAACAAACTGTTAAATAGGCTCTTTTAGCTAGCTGCTTATAGTATAAGCACTTAAGTAGCAAGAGTAAGAGTAGTGTACAGTGTGCACAGCGTACAGAGTGTAAGGCCGAGATGGCGCTTACGTGCGACAGGTATATATACTATTCTGTACGCAACAATCAACTGTTGGTTGATTATTCGCACCTTTTTGGTTGTATTGGCGCAGTGGTACAGAGCTCCGTCCTTACACAGAGTAGGTGGGGTGGGCAATAGATTTCTAGTTATTGCTTGCTTTCTTTCTATGTACAGAAGACACAAGGGATATTTTAGGAGGCGCACGCGGCGCACGGGCATCACGTGGTGCAATCACATGATCCCATGCTGGATTAGGTAAATACCATGCTCTGTGTCGCTCCTGCGTATAGACACAAACAGCTTTTAATTTAGGCAGCAATTAGCTAAGTAACCTGCTTCCTAAATAGGCTAACTATACCCCTGCAGAGCTCAGATCGTTGAGTGGCTAATGGCTTTTGGTAGGCGACTGTATCGACAACACAATTGCAATATTCCCTTTTTGCTGCCCTCTTACTAAATGGAATTTGGGTACAGGAGGTGCCTAGGGGAATCAGGCCGCTTCCTAAATAGTTCTAGAGAGTTGTGGGCCACTGCTTGAATTCTTAGATTTCATTATATCCATTAAGCCCATATCCAGTGTTCGCATGGTTGTGGGAAAAAAATTAGGAGTCATCTTGATATTTGAAATCGGCATTCTGTAAAAGAACTCTACCTTCTGTTGGAAGTGGCAAAAGGTCAACCTCCTACCAAGCACAGCAGAAGAAAATATATAGGCGGATAAAATGCACGCGCGACACCTTCATCTATCAACCTCTACTAACGCAGGGAAAGCCTTCTGGTGATCACAGAATTCCGAATGAAATCTCCCTCCCTCGTGGGCTCCTCCGACTTCGTGTACGCAAAAACCTGCCTAGGTCTACTTTCTACGATCAGGTACATGCGAGGTGTTTTTCTTTGCGCCACTCCTGATGCAGGGCTTCCAACGGGCCGTACTACGGTCCGTACAAAGTGAACCGTAACGGTCACGTGAGCAGTACGAACGTACCGAGTTTGTGAGCCGTACTGTACGTTTAATGATGCCCTAGGTACAGTACGTAGTACGGACCGTATTACCCTTTTAGGAAGTTTGTATGGCGATTTTGGAGGAGTAGGACGGCTCTGGCGAAGAGCGGCCTTGCGGGAGCGTTTAGGAGGGTTTCTAGAGCTCTAATTAGCTAAAAGTTTTGTAAGGACGCGTAAATCTCTTTCTAAGTCTTTTAATCTATCTATCTGCAGTCTGTTGTCTTAAAAATGCCTATTACTAACTATTTTCTATTGCAGGGCTATCTATCCACGCGCCTCGCCGCCTCACAGGCCTTATCTAGTTAATTGGATACCTCTGTCGCCTATTTTGCGCAGTCTCGCAGACTGCAGAAGTTGAGAGCCCTCTACACCGCGTCTCCTGCCTTATCCCGCGATAGTACACTGTCTGTGGCTGAAGATTAGTTGCAGCAGTTCCTAGAAGATCATAATTGTAATGCTAGGGTTGAGTTTGTAATTAACTAGAATAATATATAGATGTTAGACTTAAAACAGGCGTTGCCCTTAGCGCGATTAGGTTACCGCGTAAAGAATAAGACTACGTTGCGAGGCAATTGTACGCTGTTAAAAGTATGGGCTTATGGCGCGGATTTGACGCTTATAGAGGAGCAGGGCAAGGTAATCCGCCTCTAGCTCTGCTGTCAATGCCATGAGCAAGGTTCTCAGCGCGGCTGGTCGTACAGTAACTGACGATTGAGGCTATTCAACTCTAGAAGAATTAGTTACAGAACAAGGTAGTAAGCAGCGAGCTTTTAGACCTCCCTGCTCATGTTACTAGGGAGAATTAGTTATCTAATGGCCATTTAGACCTTAATCCTGCGTCTCTAGAGACCTATAATATTAGCTGTTTTGACTAGAGTACGACGTACTTTAATTAAATTGTACTACTCGTACAGATCACGTGAGCCGTAACGGTTACGATACGTACACCTACCTCTCCTCCTCCCTGCCGTACGAACGTACTCAAAATCTCACCCGTACAGGCCTCAAAAACGCCCAATCGTACAGTACTACGCCTCGTTGGAAGCGCTGTCCTGATGTGTACAACTTGGTCAATGATACCGTGTCTAATATGGGACGAGTATGGCAGGTCAGGCACGCTTTGGGAAATATGGGAAACTTTTGGAGAAACTTTTGGTAGGTGTAGAGATGAGGAACTGAGTTGATTGCTAAAAGAGTGTACCTAAGGGTATATATATATAAGGAGTGAGGTAAGCAGCAGGGTAGGAAGCAAGTGACCATAGTAGGCAGCAGTAGCTCCTGAATACGATCATGTGGTGGGGCTTGGAGAGCTCCGCTACTGCAAACAAAATATGTTAGGCCTTTTAGCAGCAATTTTTGGTTGCACTCTGAATCGACTGAACGTATTCATAGCGTATCTATCGCATGGCTTAAGCCGATGGATAGAGGGCATATAGAGGTACGCTATGTGAGAGCTAAACTTGGTAGATTGAGTGAGAGAGACCTGAGGCGACAATACAGTGGATTGAACAGCGCTAGTCCTCAATAGGAAACCAGTGTGAGGTATGGATTGCCACGCGAAACAAAGTGACGTGAGACCAGCGCTTCCAACCGTACGTAATACGATTCGACTCGACCAAATCCGGGACGTTACGTCTGACTATCTTAGTACGTTTCTACTATACAATTAACATAAGGACTACTTACAAGTCTTAACTATAACAATTAAGAATCCTTATACAGCTTAACAACTTAGCAAAAGTTATAACATAACACTAAAACAAATATAATCTAAGAGAGCTAAGAGCTTAGAGTAAATTGCTCTCTAACAGAGCTAGTTTTTTTATAATTAAAAAGCCTTAATTGTCTCTCTAAAGAGGCAGTTCCTGTTAAAGTAGCAAGTTCTTCTCCTACTAGAGAAGGCTCTCTTGCAGTTGTAGAACGTACACAGGATAGAGAGGAAATTAAGGGCAATTTTAAAGAGTGTAGGGTAGGAGAAACGTCCTACTTTTGTCTACTATGTAAGAGGATCTGTAAATAAAGGGCTGTTGTCCTTAGCTATAGTAAAGTCTTTTTAATAAGAGTTATAATACTACTACAACTCTAAGGTTTTCTGCTACCTTTTATATAAGTAATTACTAGTAAGAAGAGAGATGTTTATAAAGAGAGTCTTTTTAAATCTATTGTTATAATAGTTGCTACTAGGTAACTTACAACGCTAGAGCAGCTAAGGAGGGTTATTCTTATTAACCTTAGCCTTAGCCTTTGCATTAACATACTGCTAGAAAATAGCTTTTATTAAGACCTTAGCCTTTTTATGCTATAATAAGTGCTTTCTTTAATAATCTTTAAACTAAATAAGACAAAGTTAAGAGTTAAGTATAGTTATAACATAGTAATAAGATATAAAAGGTTCTAAGATAAACTTACCCTAGTATAATATTAACTTCTTAATGCTATATAATATGCTGTTTTTAAGGTAGGAGCTCTTATTCTTATGCTTTACTTTCTCCTACACTTTATAAAGTTTGTTATATAAGTGCTAAAGATTAATAATTATTATTTAAAAAAACTTATACTTACTATTGCCCTTAATCCTTTTAGTTATAAAGTAAAAAACTTTAAGAAACTTATAAAAGTAGTCTACTTTTTTCTACTTATCCTTAGTTATTACTTTAGTAAGAGTAAAGATGCTAGGTGTAGTAGAGTTATTATTATTAGTGCCTCTCTACTTTTAGATAAATATTATAATAGTTGTTTTAAGCTTGTAACAGCGTAATAGCATAAGATATACTAAATACTAGTAGACGCTGCTATTTTGTATAAAAGAAAGGGTTTTAAAGCTTTAGAAAGAGTTATTAGTATTAACAGTAGCCTAATACATTATAAAGGCCTTTTAGTGTTTATGTAATGCTAACACTATGTTTATAAAATTATAAAGCTTGCTTATAACTTTATGCTAGCAGTATATATTAAACTAATTCTAGGAAGCAGCTTAGGCTAGCTTAGTCTTAAAAGCACTAAGCCCTTTACTATATATTACTGCCTTAACAACTAGCTAGATTGTATAACTACTACAGTGTATACAGTGCTTAGAGGTAAGCAGCATGTTAATGTGCTTAGTAAAGTTAGTAATAGTTTCTTTATTATTATTTAATGCGTTGTTAGCAACTAAATAATAGAATTTTAATATAATTTTAAAGTTATAAATAACAGTAGCAATCTTATGCGCTTAATTTACCTTTATATAGTTACTATAAAGGTTTTAAAAGCTAATAAGTAGGTCTTAGTGCTAGTAGTTGCTATTTATTTTTATATAGTTAATTATTATAAGGTTTTTAAGCTGCTAAGGCACTAGTGCTAGGGAATTACTAACTTACTAATAAAATAAGCTACTACCCTAAGAAAGAAAAAGTAGTTTAGTAAAGTTTATATATTAACACTTAATATAACTTTTAACTAGGCTATCTTTAGTACTGTTTAAATCTCCTGCTTTTACTCTATAACTCTAGAATTTACATATAAAGAATATGTAGTAGGCAATAATAGAAGAGCGCAGAGAAGGTTAGTGTAGTTCTAAAAAATAATGCCCTAAAGTTTAGCTAATAAGGCCTTAGCAAAAAAAATATTATAAAAGATTACTTAGTTAATAACTACCTTCTATAAAAACTCCTCCTACTAAATAGTGTAAGTAATAATATGCCCTCCTCTAGCAACTTTATAAGTAATGTTAAAAGAATTAGCTAGAAGCTATAGCCTGTTAGGTAAGAAACTTTTATTAGCATTAACTTAGTGCTTTTTTCTAAGATAGCTAATAATATAGTTATAGCTGTTAACCTTCTTTACCCTAGCCTAAAGGCCCTGCGTGTGGCATCTCTTGCACAACTAAAGCCTTAAAAGGACGCCTTTATTATCCTTATACACTAAATCTGCCCTATGCTGCTATATAAAGGAAACAGGACAATTCCTGTAAAGCTAGCTTTTGTGTTTAACATAGTAACTAAGCCTTTTTAGTAAAAGCTTTTTATTTATTAGCTAGAGGTTATCCTACTTAATAAAGAAGTTTACACTATTATTAAAATAATTATTAGCTAGAAACTTTTTTATAAATTTAACTACTAGCGTCCTATTACAAGAGCTAATAGATAGAGAGGATAATAAGGCTTTTAAGTAAGTAAGATAATAAAAACTAGCGTAATAAGCTACTTTAGCTTGTTAAGAGGAGCTAGCTTAGGAGGAGCTAGCTTAGGATAAGGCTGTACGCCTACTACGCTAGAGGAATTAAGACAATTAGCTTATAATAGGTAAGAATAGCAAATTATAACTTTAGAATAATATAAAGCGCAAAAAAGTTAACTATTTACATAGGATCTAATACCCTAGCCCCCCCTCTCTAACGCATCCTTACTTGTAGCACACAACAGAGTTTTCACCTATTATTACTTAAAAAAGCCCCCTTAAACGCCCTCCTAACGCTTGCCCATAGATGTCTAATTAGGTCCTATATTACTAGGAAAAATCGACTTTCTAAGACGTATTACGGACCGTAAGGGGACCTCTCTTAGTTGTACGTTATGATTGACAATCCTCTTACGTTTGTACGGCTCACGTGACCGTAACTATTCACTTTTCTGAGTCGTAGTACGTACGGTTGGAAGCGCTGCGTGAGACAACATGAAAGGGTACATCCCACCCTTGAGCCAAACCACCGCATCCCCTTCCTCCGCTCCTGGTGGCCCCAATCCTGCCGTTTCCCTCTGTACTGATAGGCAGTCTCCTCCCTAGCGTATATTCCGCAATATCTCCACCAATAGTTTCCGATGCGTTCTTCTCTTCCTGCCAGGCTGTAATAGACACGTTCCCTGCAAGCCGCGCTGGAATAGCTTCAAGCTAGGAAGTTCTTTTGGGCCTGCAGAACGAATAATACCGGTTCCGTAATACTTATACGTATAGCAAAGCCCATCACGGTACAGCAGACATGGGATGCGTCGTGAAGTCTTTCAGACGTTCGCGAGTTGTTAAAGTGAAAGCCAAGGTGTCCATGATAGGGTATGGAAACCGCTGCCAGTTAACCAGGAGAGCGAGGGACTCCCAGGATCGAAGAATACGCGCAAATCCTAGAGTTCCACGATGGAACGGTGGGTAAGGCATTTTCTCGGCAACTTCTTTGATGGTTTTGAGGAACGCACCTTAGATGATGAAGTCGTTTTCTTGGGAGAGGGGACTAGCTATAAATTTCATGGGAATTTCATCTACAGGGGCCCCTGAGACTGGCATTTCTGCCCTCTTGAATTCTCTAATCGGACTAATCAAACTGAAGTCTGGTACCTAGAATGGAAGTGAGAGGATGCTTTTTGGAGTACCTTGAGGCTCACAATATCTTCGATGGTTTTTACCTGAGCAGAATTCCTACACACATTCACTAAGCCTAGATCATAGTTAATCTCTGATGTCGGTCTCTCGAGGAGCTCGAAAATGCTAAAAATCTTGTCTCGCGGGTCTAAGTCTGTATATTTATTGAGGTAGTAGAGCAAGCAGTCAATTCGTGGAGGATTATCCAGCACCTGATCTAGGATGACCTAAAAATAACACAGATGGTGCATGACGCCGAGATACTAGAATGGGTTCTCGTTCCGGTGTTGTGCGGCACCAGATGGTCTATACAAGGCGAACATATCGGAAAAATTTGCAGAGGCGGGACCATATAGCGCAGATCTTCGTTTACATGTGCAAAGTTTGATGAGTACCTATGGCTGAAGAAACCAAGGATGGCTCAAGATCCTTTTAAAGGTCCGTTTGAGGCGTTCAATGGTCTCTGGTGTCTTCCAGTGTGCGTGGCTTCCATCTGTTAACGTTGCTTGGGGTGGATTGCCTGGATCAGTTTTTCCTGATTTACATCTCTTCTCGGTGGTTTTCCAGTCTCAAATCACCTCGAAAGGGATGTGAGAGTCGTCTTGCTATTCACTAAGCCAAACCAAGAGCTCTTTTGCAGCGCTGTAAATATCTTGTAACATGTGGCATTACTGGGTCTTCTCGCCGAGATCGTCTTGGTTGATGCAAAGAGAGCTGACCCAAAGACTTCTCAGCTCGGTTCCCAACCGAAGTCCCTTTGATGCTAGAGAAAGGTGGATTGACATACTTCGAATTCTCTGGCTAATTCGGCATGATTTTTGGGCCGTTTCTTCTCGGAAAATATGATAAAGCCTCAAGCTCCAGCGCCTGAGACAGTGGACACAGTACGAACTTAACATGTAAGGGACTGCTGCTTGATTTAGAAGGCAGTAATGGAAGTAATCAAAGTAATTGAATCGCCCGAAATTGAATCAATGGTTCGTGGGTGAGCAGGCTAAAATGTGGGCCATCATAATGTCCAACCTCATCCAGATCAAAAGGACTACAGCTGATTTCGAATATGCTCATAGAAGAATGTAGTCTTGTAGTGGGAATGAGTTACGAAAGAAGTGGTGTATTGTGGATTGAGGATCCGAGGAGCTATATGATTTATATAGTATGATGAGACGCCAATCCCAAGGTTGATTCGGCAGCCCATCGTAGAGCCCTCTGGCTTACAAGGAACTATTTTGATTCTGGTTTTTTAGAATCGATAATGGCTTAGCTATTGTTGTCCCTAACGTCATCTAGAAGATTTAGCGGTAGGTGATCTGCAAGCAAGGCCTGTATGTTCGCCCGTACGTATCGCGACCAGGAGTCGGATAATTTGTGAAGCTTTTGGGGGCACCAGAGGCATGAGTAACTGGATTGCTAAAGAAGTGTATATATACGCGAAGGAGTGGGTTAGGAAGCAAGTGACTAAGCAGCAGGTGAAACCGGTAAGGTAACAGTAGTGTATCAATGTGGAACTACGTCATCATGTGACTAGAGCTCGGAGATCTCTGTAACTGCCAACAAATTTCAAGCGTATATTCCGTATGAACAGGACGAGCGTAAATTTTTTTTTTTGGAAGGATTCGAGCGCCGTAACTTGAAGTCCAGGGCATGAAACCCAAATTCATGGGACGATTAGGTATAGACAAAATTCTTGGAGGGCTAACTGCAAGAAATTGGTCTGCTTTGACACCCTGGGTGGGTGGAAAATGTCCCGTTCACATCTAGACCATATTCAGTCACCAGATATGCCAAAATATCTAGGTGAGGGGCTCCTGAACCGTCATATATAAGATCGCGCGTCGTATATCCAAGATCGGTATGTGACAGGAAAGACCCGTACCTGTTCACAAGGGAGCATATCAGTGCGAAAGATTCGTTCACTATAGTCCAGTCTTGAGTCTCTTTTGGATCGTACTCCATTTTATGGTCAATAAGACGAACCAATTCGGTTTGTGCACCCTGCTGACGGATGGGAAGCTTCTTGATCCTAAGGTATTTCATTAGGTACCTTGTAAATCACATTCATGTTAGCTAACTGCTTCTAGGTCTAAAACATGAGCAACTAGCCACTAGGTGAGCCAGGTATGACCAACCCAATACATGCACTGGAAATTCGCTTGACTAATCCGTATTCTTGCAGACATTGGCCAACCATTTACGGAGGAGGAAGAGGCGGAAGTACTATAAGTTGTCCCACGCACCCGACCATGAGATTCGCTTTCCATGCAGCAGCAGTTTCGCATCTTGTCAACCGCTCGGAGTCATAAACACTTCCCAATAGCATTCGAATTTTACCTTGAGAGCCCCCTTCAATATCAAACTAGCGAGAAGCTGGAGCTGATGAAGTGTATTTTGTTCTAGTCTAAGTGGTCTGCTGCAGAGTGTTTATACACATCTCTGGCGATAAAGGCAGTAGGAGCCGTTGTGGCCCAGAGAAGGAAGGTTTAGGAATGTGACATTCCCCATCACGAACGCGTATCGAGAGAAAACGATACTTATTCTAGACGATGTGTTCGGGTTCTTTAATGTTGGAGATAGGACCACTGGGCAACTATGCGGCCCACAATAGCTCTCCGAATTGGCTCCAAACAGTGAAACAGTGGTTCAAGCTTGTTTACCGGTTGCGACGATGGCGATACCTTTGAGATGGCTGCACGTTCGCCAGTCTTAGCGCAATCAGTCAAGCTGGGAGATGTGATGAAACGAATCTAGAAATCGCATTTATTTCCCTCCCCTGCCGGATTGGTCGACTCTAGATTACAAGAAAGACAGGTTGGGACTACCCGAGTGCGCTTATCGGCGATTCCTCTAAAACCGCCGAAATGGAATCGCTTCGGGCAACACAGGCCTGAGAACAAGGAAAGCTTTATCCAGACTTTTGCGCAACCAGCTTCCGGACGACGATTTTCTGACTAGTTTCGTGGTTCTGAAACATCGAGCGCCGGACCGCGATCCTATGCCGACTCCAGATCTGACGGACAAGAAGATACCTTCTCACAAGGGCTCCTTGGTTGTTCTTACTGGCTTGGACCATCATCGGGCCATCGTCTCGACTGAGTCAGGCATCGTCACTATGCCTACCAGCGATACCAATTGTGAAGCTATTAGGAGCATTAGAGCCATGAGGAACTGAGTTGATTGCTAGAGGGGTGTACCTAAGAGTCTATATATGCATAGGAATGGGTTATGCAGCAAGTGGCTAAGTAGCAGATAAAAGAGGTAACGTAACAGGTGGTGTATCAGGGGCCGGAAGTACGTCATCATGTGGTTGGACCTCGGAGATTTCTGTAACTGCAAACACTACTTCTACCCCTGGCTGCCTTAATGAACATAGCAAGTACAATATGATTGCTACTCTGCTGTTCTCCCAAAGAATAACTCTGCTTTGGAGGAATTTTTACAGCTTCGTTTCTAAAGTGATTACTTTGCCGCTGGTGAGGGACCTATTTTCCTAGAATTTGCACAGAAGCCGCTGTGCTGCATTGATGAAAAGAACCTGGAGCCACTAAGATGTTTCTCGACATCCATCTACCATATCTTGGCAATCTTTTTAGCGAAGTACAGATCAAACAAGAAACCCCACCGCCGGAGACAATCCTAGAAGTCTTGAAGTGGAGAATAGCATTTACGGCTTCTTTGAAGCTCAACAAGCGGCTTAACAGTCTAACACGAGCTATGATAGACTACTGAACTCCTACGAAAAATTTTGACACTCTAACAGCCGTAGATTTTAACTGTAACATGCCGTACTACATCCAGATTTGCTTGTTTAGCGGATTGCCCAGCTAACGGAAACACCTGAGTACCTTTTCACCAAAGGTCAGATGTCCGCGAGTGACGTCGCGCTACAGCCCCGATACTGCACACCTACGGAATAGAATGCCATGGTACGCAACATTAGGCAGTGGGGGGACAGACTTCAAGACGATATGGATTGTGCAGAATGAGCTTGGGCGAGTACTGGTTGACGTTACGCCTCCAGACGACGTAGAGTTATCGGAGATGTGAGAGGTGTTGGGGCTGTCGCCTTCGTCGCCTTTTTCGGAGTTGTCAACGGGAGAGTGAGCAGAGAAAACTAGGATATGAATAGCAGTATTTCGGTCACCTGCGTGAACGGAACTCAAGGTTGTTATACGTATATACAGACGTCCGACCCTGATAAAGTCGGGGAAATCCAACCGAATAATTGCCAGAGATGGGTGAGGATGAGGTTGAGATCTTAGTGCTCTCCAGACGAGGTACTGCCTCAAGTTCAAGGGGACGCGTTCTATGGAAAAATGGGCTTCCCTCAGAAGACTATTAAGCTGATATGTTTGTATTTAGATTTGAGTGAATCGGAAATCATTATTGTCAACTTTATTGCAGTGACGAGCCCAAACACGCACCTGTTTCTACGCTGCGCTGTTGCAAGTTTGGGCTGCATTGGACTCACAACTGTGACCGCGTCGTATTTGCCTGGACGAGTGGTGCCGGTCCAGCCACATACGCAGTTCAAATGAAAGTTGCTTCATTTTCAACTTCTTGAGGTGCCACTGAATCCTCTTGTCCCGTTCGCCATGGAGAAGCGGGAGAAGCCATAGCCAACCCTCAAGCACATATAGTGCGCAACTCCTTTTTCAAAATCTTCCCACTCGGACTCCTCGGTACCTTTTCGATAAATGTGATGCGATCGCCCAACCAATGTATTGAGCTCAAATTGCTTTCAATGAGAGAGCTGATACTGCGTCTCAACTCGGTCTCACTAGCTTCGACCATCAAGTTGGGAGATCTGACAACAAACGCCAGAGCAACCTCCCCAGAAGTCTCGTCTGCTGTACCGATCACGGCCGCGTCAATGATTGCCGGATGCTGTAGCAGTTGTGCCTCTATTTCTGCTGGAGCTACCTGACTGCCCTGCAGAGGGTGTTAAGGGTTGGACAGTGACATTCTCTCACGCTCTCACTTACCTTGACCTTTATCATATCTTTCAGCCTGTCCACGATGAAGAGGTGTTCTGAGCCCTTGGGACTTGTTTTGATGACACCAATGTCTCCAGTTCGCAACCAACCTTCGGGATCAAATGTATGATCATGGGCTTCGGTATCTCCCAGGTAGCCCACGAAAACACTCGGTGAGGCGATGAGCACCTCCCCAGGTTGGTCGTAGTTGTCGATGTCTGACCCATCCGGACCTTCCAGGCGAGCCTGAACATGGGGGAGTAAACAACCAGAAGAGCCAAGATATACGTCATAAGGACTGGTCAGTGTCGCTATTATCGAAGTCTCCGTTAAACCTAGGGGTGCCGGTGTCAGCTCAGCTGCAATTTCACGTGGTTGCTGTTAGGAGACCGACCATATGCCTGAATGATTTCCCAGCTTGGGCATAACTCTTGCAACTGCCTTGCCACTTTTTCATTCAAAGGAGCGGCCCCACTAACAACTGTTGTCACGGAGGAGATGTCGTGCTTCTTCAATAAGGCACTGTGGCTGATTAAGGCTACTATGATTGGAGGGACCTGCCGTCTCGTCGTCAGCACTGTCAATCATACGTAATCATTGGTATCGCAACGCTGTACGTTCAAGGAGGTTCATACCAGATAAAGTCTCTGTATATGGTATTTCGAGATCGCTACAATCATAGCTTGCATATCAAACTGTGGATGCACGATCAGCCTGTCATTGCGCCAGAGCATTATATGCGCGACTTCCAGCCCATATGCATGGCTCATGGGCAAGACTCCAGTCGCAGTTTCGCTCCGCCCCTTTTTCGTTACATCTTCATATATAGTAGCTTGCAAAACGTTGGCAATGACATTGAAGTGCGTGATCTTGGCTAGTTTCTGAGAGATACGGTCATTTGATTGGACTTTTTGTGCTTCTGGTACTCTCTCAAGGGTAACCCACCTGCTTGCCAGCAGTCCCACTTGTAGAGCACAGGTAGGCGATTTGTTTTGTCCCTTGACCAGGCTCCCAGGAGAGGCTTTCCACAGGATCGAGAAATCTTCCAGCCTCGACCAGTTGATTCAAAAATCGGTAGTTGCTGCTGATGTTGTCGTCAGGCAAAAAGGGGTGGGGAAGGTCTATGAGATAGATTTTGTGCCTGTCCAAGGCTAGTTGGTCCGCAGCCTGCAAACATGTCGACAGCAAGGGCCAGCAAGTAAAGATTGTGCTGCAGCGAGCGAGTTTCATGTGATGGGTAATCTCTGCGACAGAACTTGATGAGTGCAACGGTAAGCAAATCCCATTGACGCGATGGACAGCCCAACATAGTATCATATACTCGATCTATCAGAAGTCAGTGTTAGGATATACTCCTTGCGTCGAAAAATACTTACCGTGTTCAGACTGAAGATAGCGACCACTTTGTCCGAAGGCGAACCAACATTGGAGGACCAGCCCAGCTCCTTGCAGAGACTTCTAGACAGCAGGTCAACCCTCTGCTTGACTTCATTGCGTGTATAGGACTTGTCGGAGAGCCCACAGGTGACCACCGGCCTCGGGGCAAGGTCTGTCGATGGCTGTGGGCGGCCAATAAGCGCGAACTCGCCTACGGGAAGTGTTTCCGGGATTTCAAAAAGGCCTTGTGGCACCCACGGAGGCGATTTGAACACCATTTTGAACCTAGTACGTTCTTGTCTGAAATTTCTAAGCTTTGGTGAGTACTTGAATGAGAAATACGCTATGGTCTAATAGAAAGATCCAAGTATACATTATTTAAGTCCATTTGCCTGTGGAACACATTGACAAGCTACGGCCGCGATTAGCGTCACTATGATTATGAAGCACTACACTCCTCCTATGGTACGGCTGATATATTGTACAATCCGTGCTCTTCAGGGATGCCTGTTTTGGTGCTACCAGAATAGAATACACCGATCACCGCACAGGCTCGTATAGAAATATTTGTTGCCGCTTCTCTGCGTTCTTTTCAACGCGTCCTGCTTATCAGCCTAACTACATAGAGCTAACGTGTTCCGCCAGGCATCCACCAATCAAAAAGCCAAAAAAAGCCAAAAAATACATCCTTAATAGTTATCTTAACAACATTTAAAAAATTGTTTATGTAAAATTGTATAAAACTATAGTTATAGCTTTTATATAACTCTTTTTAAGATAACTTTATAATAGAAATAACAAATAGAACTAACACTCTATTATAAAATACTAGTTTAAAGATAAAAAGAATATATAAAATTCTAAGTAGAAAAAGGTAGCGATAAATATTTGTATACAAGTTCGCATAGTACTTAATGCATTCCAACTTTCTATAAAAGTTATAGAAGAAGCAGGTTAACAATTTAACCTTTTATATTAACTCTTATTCTCTAAGGTTTAAATATTTATATACAAGCTTATACAGTAATTAATGTATCGTATTCTAGTAGCAAAATAGGAGCGTCCCTGCAGCGCACGGGTGGTAGAATATAATAGCCGGGTACCCTTGGACATAGGAACCTCTGAAAGCTGACAATGGTAAAAGTGGACCTCGTACTGTACCGTAAGGCGATGTGGAGACGGACTTACGCGCAATGATATTAGAAAAAAAGTGGAGTCTACAGTATCCGGGTTGTTTTGCAGACCAGGGACGAAGGAAGACGCTAAAGAAAGACGCTAACGGAAGGCGCTGAAGGAAGGCGCTAAAGCGAGGCGCTGAAGGAAGGTGCTGAACAAAGGGGCCAAAAGGAGGCGCCGAAGGAAGACGCTAAATGAAGGCGCTAAAGAAAGATGCAAAGGAGGACGCTAAAGGGAGGGGCCGAAGGAAGACGCTAGAGGGAGGGGCCGAAGGAAGACGCTAAAGGAAGGCGCCGAAGGAAGACCGCAAGGCTGACCATCAGCTGAGTAATTATTTTGTTTCTGCTTCTCACGCCAGGTACGATGTTCAACGGGTTCTGGGATATTCGGCCAAAGTATTGAATATTGTTAGTGCTCTGCAGTAGCCCCATGCACGCCGGATGAGTCCAGTTAGCTACATCAAATATGCGGGGAAGGCTGCGTTAGCCTTCCTATTTCGCTTGCTAATTAAATGTGTGTATGTATAATGTTCGGGTATCTTACAGCGTACTGACAATATGAAATTCAGCTAGATATTAATTTGACTTTACACTATTGTAGTATGGATAGTTAAAAGAGTATATTAGAAAATAATATACTAGAAAATAGTTCTAGCGCTACTCTTAATAGATTTTGCTATAGTATAAAGCTAAAGACGAAAATAAAGTTTATATAGAAAATAATATACTAATTTCTTATAATCTGTGTAATGACAAGCGCGGTCTTTACTATTCTATAGAGCTAATTGAGCTGAATAGAGTAGGTTGCCTCTATTTCATACTATACTAGGATGAGAAGAGAAGGAGATGAAGGTTTCTGCAAGAAAAAAGTCTGCGCAGATCTAAGACGCTAGCGTGTTCACTTAGCTCTTAGCGCGATCATGTGACTAGTAGCGGAGCTTCTGTTATAACCTTAATCCATTGTTATATGTATACTATCTATATATCTTTTCTATCTTTTTTCTACTACTAATACTTCTTCTATTATAGACGTTTTTAAGTGTAAAAATTATATATATATATATATATATATTTTCTATATTATAACTAGTAAATATACTAAAATTATAAATTAGTTAGCTTTTTACTATTCTAAAAATAAGTAAAAATATAATCTACATTGTATAGTAAAAAGAAAGTGTTTTATATTATATAGCTATTACTAGAATGGGTTTCTTAAACTTAACTAATATACTACTAGCTAAATTAACTTTTTTTAAAAAATATTTAAATAAGATTTACTATTTTTATAAAGATAATTACAAAGCTAATTAATATGCTAAACTAGTGTAAAGAGATGATTAATATTAAAAAAATAGATATATAAAAATAGATAGAAACTAGGGTAGCATATTAATAATATACTAATGATATGTACTTTAATAAGTTTATACTATTGTAGTATATTATCCTATTTTTATACAAAGGTCGTAGGTTAAATAAACAATTGGTTACTGCTAAGCAGGAAGTACGCCTAAAATCACTCCTACAAAGGGCTACAAGAGGTTAGATTAGCGCCGATACCTTGCTGATGAGTGTTATTACTTACCTCATAACCTTCGTACATGCTCCTTTTCCTTATAGGGTAGTGTACTCCGTATACGAATTATTGGTGCTGATGAATCCAGGCTTCATCGTCCGCTCCAATGGGATAATCAGCAATGTAGTATTGCAGAGGCTGCTGTAGTTCCCGATAGCCCGGGCGGCCACCGACCACGTTGCGGCTTTCACCAATAAGTCTCCAAAAAGCGATCCAGCTGCCTGGCTATAAAACCTCACGACGCGACTCCCTTTCTCCTTATATTCTTCACTTGATGATCTGGTTTCCCTTCCCCTCCTACACTAGTCAACCAAAATGATCCGCGAGATTGCGTACGGTTTCGCAGGCCTCGTCCTCGCTATCACGGTGGACTTTCTCTTTGGCATTCGCGACGACCCAAGAGAGCCGCCACGGTTGCGGCCAAAGATACCTTTGGTCGGCCATGCTATCGGGCTGTTTCAGTACGGAACTGGGAGATATTCCAGCCGACTTAGGTAGGCTCACGCCTCTCCGACAAGGTTCTTATTGCATTTCCATGCCGAACTAATCCCTAAACAGCCAACGGACAGATGCAGAAATGTACACGCTAGGCATATTTCATGTGAAGGTATATGTTTGTAACAATCGCCGCTTGGTGCCATTGATCCAGAGGAGCTCCAAGACGCTTTCCTTACGCCCACTTATACAGCTTGGAGCTAAGAAATATGCTGGCGCGAACGACGAAACCTATCATCTTTTTGGTCGCAAACTCGCGGACGAGTTTGGCGACGCACAAACATCAGCCCTATCCCCAGGACCGCATCTCGATAAGGCAAACTTGAGGATGGGAAAACAGCTGATCGTCGAGCTGGAGGGTCTTTTGGATATCCCCCGTGGCATGTCCAAGACCATCAAGCTGTATAAGTTGGTCAAAGACACGGTCGTCCAAGCGACGGGTTCTGGCATTTACGGTGCCAACCATCATTTCCGCGACCCAGTGGTTAATGACTCGTTTTGGTAAAGTCTCCACGTCTCTAGAAATACTCTCTCCATATAGCCCCATGAGCTAATGGCTACTATCGTGGGAACAGGAAATGGCAACCATATCTCGCCGCAGAAATGACTGGTCTAGGCTTGTTCACCGCCAAGGGGCGTGCCGCTCGGGATAAGGTGATAGATGCATGCCGCAAGTATAACGAGTCAAGTATCGAAGACGCGGCCTATGTGGTACACGAACGCCATCGCGTCTTGCGAGAAGCTGGCATTTCGCCGGACGAAATCGCAAAGCGGGATGCCACCTTCCCAATTGCCATGTTCGCAAACACAATCCCAACGCTTTATTGGGCAATATGGGAGCTATTCTCGAGACCGACAATTCTCAAAGAAGTCCGGGACGAGATCGAATCTCGCGCCGTGAGCGGCTCTAAGCAGGATGGGTTCGTGCTAGATGTGGCAGCCCTCAAGTCCAAATGCCCGCTGCTATTGTCCATGTTTGAAGAGACGCAAAGAACACGCCACATCCACGCTAATACCCGGGCAGTACTGTCAGACACATTGCTAGATAACGGCAAGTACCTCCTGAAGGCAGGGAATTATCTCCTCGTGCCTGGGCGGCCTATTCACTCAAACGTTGGCATATGGGGCCCGTCCGCTTTAGAGTTTGATCCCTATCGTTTCATTCCGAAGAAAGGTAGTGACCGGGAAGCTGTAACTCCGAGTGCTTTCTTGGCCTGGGGTGCGCCGCCGCACCTATGCCCGGGAAGGCAGTTTGCATCCACTGAGATCTTGATTGCGCTAGCCCTGCTGGCGGTTCGGGCGGACTTGCAACCGTCGCGTGGATCGTGGGAGAAGAACCCGGCGTTGAACTACGGCGAACATGCTGCTATTGAAAGTCCCAAGAGAGATGTTGACATCGAGGTTAAGGTGCGAGATCGATGGACTGGAGACTGGAGCTTAACTGCTAGTGAGAGTCTGAGTAGGATACCCCTTGCTTCTGGTTAAAAACAGGCTGTTTTGGATGATTCGAAAAATGAAACGATCAGATTCTTAAGACAAGTTCAGTAGAAAACCATGAAACCCACTGGACTAGAATTAGATAATTTCTACCTCAGGCTTCTTCTCTACCATCTATACACCTAAGATAGCTCGTAACTTACGGCCAAAGTTTAGCAGTGAGATCAGTGATGCAGAGCCAGCCTTTGAGCTAGCAGTACATGAACGAGAGAACTATGTACTGTACAAGATGCAATCAAGTCTCATCGTAGCTTGAGAACTCGCTATCCCGATGCCTCCAGAGACAGTGTGGACAGAGCTAGCATTAAAAATTAAGTACTCGTACTTAGGTGGAGGGTACGGGCAATCTAGTTTGCTTCTTAAGATTTAAGTATCAAATAATACATCATCATCAAATAATACACTATCTCTACCGCCAAGCCCTCTCTCCTATTGGTCTGGATATAAGCCGGTTATTGATCTGATTGGTGGAAAACCAAATAACTAAAACGCTTTGTTGTTCTACGTTTTTAAGCTTCAAGTAATTATTCTGCTCTGCTACATGCTTGATCTGGCCTTCTTTTTTCCCTATTGTGATTGAAGACAACGCGGTTGGGGGTGTTAAAATCACTTCTGCTGCGTGGTTTTTCCCTCCAAATATGATTGGCGCTGCTAAGACCTTCTAAGCAAAGCCTGTTATCCTTCCTAATCGGGACTAGCCACTTTCTTCCTGGAAAGGAAGGATAATCTGCTCGTAAGATGTAACACTTATACGTAAATAGTGTTTAAACCTTTATTCAGGATAAATTAATAACTTTCTTACAAGTAACAATAGAATCTCTAATAGCAAATGAGGGTGGCTGTGGGGGATTAGGTTCTTCAAGAAAGTATCTTTCTTATTCCGCGTGCATACAGCCTTAGCCTTAGTGTCTTATAACACATATAGCTTCTTAGACACTTAGTCTACAATACATCACTTTTCTTATAACTCATGCCTATCTGAGGCTACAGCATCTTTTATATAGGCAGTGTTAGAACTAAGACCTAGATTTTGGTTAGTCCTATTGTCAGATATGCGCACCTACTGTCAAGACAGGAGGAACGCTTGACGAAAGCTGCTACATAGTACGAGCAATAAGCTCGAACAGTATGTTGCTGCAAATTGCTGCATGTTGCAGCAAATTGCAGCATTTTGCAGCATGTTGCAGCATTTTGCAGCATGTTGCAGCATTTTGCAGCATTTTGCAGCAAATTGCAGCAAATTGCAGCATTTTGCAAGCTGGTCGCGCATAGGGCAAGTGCGCGAGGGACTCGGATCGGCAAAACAAAAAGCCGAGCAACACGAGTAGAGCAGAAAAAGGATCGATAAATCAATACAATCAACAATCATCCCATACATCATATCCAAACCCATCATTCATCTCAGGAAGCCCAGAAACAGTGCTTCAATCTGACACCTATAAGAGATGCTTTTGTATACGCGAACATATAGTCTTTTGAGCGGCTTCAAAGCGATTTTAGAACTTTACCCCATGCCAAGACTCTACTTAATATCTGTAACGCCTTTTAGGTACGGACGGACGTTTTTACACTAAGCGTGTGGCTTGCAGTTCATCTTTGTCGAAAGCCGGATCGCCTTGCCACTCTTAGAGTGAGACGATCTCGCTGTTTTGAATCTGATTCTTGTGTTTCAGCTGTCTAATGGAGGGGCTGTACGCCTGCATCACAGCAAAAAGAGCACTGGTGGGTATAGGACGGTATTTAGAATAGCTAAGAAAATAAAATTACAAGGAGGGGCATCAATGGGCTGGCTGGATATGGCCACTGACGGTTGATCTGACTGGTGTCACTCCATAGTTGTTTTCATGCTTGTTCGAGGGCTTGACTAATATGTCTCGTTACGCCTGCCTCGACTCACGCTAGGGATAACCCGCGGAGTCATGTATGGCCCTTCTGCAAGACAAAAAGACAGAATGCTTTCTTGTCTGTATGTCCTCAGGTGCCGTGTTCTTTCAGCCAACTGTGAATCACTTCAAAGTCCTTGTGCAACAACTTCAAGATCTGAGCTTTCGAGAATGTCCTCAATCGTAACGTCCGACCCTTCATGCTGCAAGTGATTCGCCAGCGCCGCAGCATCAACCATATCACCACCAAGTTTAAACAACGATGGGGGTGGGCCATTTCCTACTGGATATGGGCCAAGCTTTTGCCCAAGAGTCGCGTTCCATGCCCTTACAATGCGAGCACTCGGCTCAATCGGCCGGCCGGCTTCTTGCGTTTCGACGACCCTCTCGGGTTTTCTCATCGTTCTGGCAAGTAGGGGCACGTCGAAGCTTGGTGGTAACTGTGGCAAATCTACAACTGGTGCCCCGGGGAAGTCCATCATTGCTTCAATGACTGACTGAAGGAGGCTGAGAATGTGTGTGGCAACTTCAGGCTCGACCCTATCTTTCCCATAACCCAGCTCCAGAGTCACCAAGTCCGAATACTGTATCGACGTTAATGCCAAGTCGGAGAGTCCAAAGTTCTCTAGTCCAGCAGGACTGATTTGGTACTCGTGGCCACCTATCGTGGAAGCTCTTGGCGGACTGTTCAGGTGGTTCAGAGACGAAGTGTATCTTGTCCCGGCGGGCCAGTCTGTGCAATCTTTGAAGATGCCGCGGAACCCAAGACACGAATTTGGGGCACTAGCCAGCTGTTGGTCACGCACGCATCGTAAAAGATCAACGTTCTTCCAGGAAGGCTGGAGGCGAACTCTGAAAGGTATGATGTTGATGCAACAGCCTAGAGCGCCAGCAACTTGGGCGTCGGAGTAGTCCCGATTTGACACAGTATCACCAAAGACAACGTCGTCACGGCCCGTGCATTTTGCAAGCACAACTGTCCATGCCGACTTGATGTAAATGGCTGGCGTCAGTCCCTCACCATGCAAGGTTCGAATCCGGATGGAAGGAGGAGGCGCCACCTTCGCAAGCATGAATGGTATCTGGAGGACTGGGTCCAAGAATTGTCCAATCTGAGGCATCGAAGATCCATCTAGAAGTTTTCTCCAGTAGTCATACGTTTCTTCTGTGGTCCGCTGTGCCTGGTCTGCCATGAATGACGGGAAACTAGGATATGATTGCTTGGGTTGCTCCGTATAAATGCTTTGAAGGGTTGACCAGATCATGGGAAGGGAAATCCCATCGTATGCCGCATGAGTAATGCGGAAGAGGATCCAATGTTTAAGAGAATCTTTTTGACTGATAATGGCCACGTCAAATAGAGGTTGACCAAGTTTGGGCGGCCGATGCATGCCAGCTTGCATTAGCTTTTCCGCAAAAGGCTCAATGGGACCCTGAACCTTATACGTGGCGATTTCCTGGTCGTATGTTCGGAGCACAACTTGTAGAAGCGTGCCGTGACTGAAAACGTACACGGTTCGGAGGGGCTCGAGCCGATCGACAAGTCTCGCACAGCACGCTTTCAGGTAAGCGACATCGACTGGACCGTTGGCAACCCATTTGAAGTAACGCAATTCCATCTGGTTTTTCATGAGGCTGGTGACGATGCTGTATGCTTGCACGTCGGTCACTGGAAGTACATCAACAATGTCGTCACTTGGTGCGTTCACCAATGGGCACATTTGTTCTTCAATATATGTTGGCACTGCAAGCACGTCCAACAGCGAGAACGGCCGATACTCACGCAATTCTTGGGGTCGAGGCATCTCCGTCATTTTGGCTAGGGTGGCCATTCCCGAGATGGTCGACGATCGGAAGATATCTGCCACACTAAGCGAGATGTTCTGAGCTCTTGCAAGCGTAACCAGCTTCATTGCTGTGATAGAATCACTTCCAAGTTGGAAGATGTTATCGTTACCACCAATCAATTGCTCTTCGATGTTGAGGAGATCTGCCAAGAGAGTGCGAAGCTGAGCGGCGACCGGAGACTCTAACTCGTTCTCATTTGATTGGCTGGACACAAACTGCAAAAGAATTTGTGGGTCCTGCGATGCAAGAATTTCGTGAACCTTCCGCCGATCTAGCTTGCCCGAGGCGTTAAGAGGGAGGCGGCTCATAGGGATATAGACATTGGGCACCATGTAGGCTGGTAGCACGTTAAACAAGCTAGCACGTAATTGGTGGAAGGCCTCTCGCAGGAGGTTTGATGACGGGAGGAGCTCAGACGCCAATTGGTCGCCTTGGGCCAGATATCTGCTATTGGGCTTGAAGTCGACGGCCACGGCCAAGAGGATCTGTTCACCACGGCTGCTCTCGCGCGATATTAGGCTGGCCGCTACCATCTGGACCTCGGGAAGCAGACGTCCGACCCAGTTTTCGATCTCGCCGATTTCGACGCGCTGGCCGCGTATTTTAACCTGAGTGTCATAGCGACCGACATACGATAGTGTGCCATCATAATGCTGGCGCACGAGGTCCCCAGTGCGATATAAACGCCGCCCTGGAGTAACGCCGAGCTGAGTAACCCACTCCGGGTCAGTAACGAACACTGCCGCCGTTTTAGCCGGGTCGTTAAGATATCCGCGGGCAAGGAGCGGGCCTTCTAGTAGGAGTTCGCCTACTACGCCGACACCGACTGGACAAAGGCGATTGTAGTTGGTAGGGTTTGTTACCCAGAAACATCCCGCCAGCGGCCGTCCGATAGAGAGAGCATCCTCAGGATCCACAAGAGAACCGCTATACGAAGAGTGAATAGAAGACTCTGAAGGTCCGTATGCACTGATGACTGTCGCGTGGAGTCCCCATATAGTGATCACAGCCGGCTTCACAGCCTCGCCCATAAGGACTATTGACTTCAGTGATGGCGCGGTTCTAGGTGACAGTAGCTGCGCTACCGTAGAGGTCAGCTGGGCAAAGTTGACTGCCATCGACTCTATAGCACCAGCAAGATTGTTCAGCCGATCGGTATCAGAGGCGATACAAACGCATCCGCCGTAGATAATCGTGGCGAAAACCTCCGATATACAGACATCGAAGGTATGAGCGGCGAACTGCAAGGTTCGTGTGTGCTCATCTATGCCAAACTTCGCTCCGTGAGCTTTGAGACTGGAACAGAGCGCAGCGTGCTCTAGAACCACCCCTTTGGGCGTGCCTGTACTACCAGAGGTGTAGATGATCCAGGCCGCGTGATCTGGTGTGATTTTCGTACATGGCGCTGCTACCACTGCTGTCGGAGAGAGCGTGGTGAGCCAGGAATCACTCACAGTCACTAGAGAGAGCAATAGCCCAGCCAACCGGAGAGCCTGGGTAGAATCAACTAGAATAATCTTCATATCGGTATCGTCGACTATGCCCTCTATGCGAGCGCGAGGGTGCTGTGTGCCTAGAGGCACGACAGTGCCGCCAGCCTGCAGAATAGCTAGCATCGATATCGCCGTCCATCGCGATTTATCCATACATAGGCCCACCTTGACCTCTGGTCCGACACCATGCCTCACGAGATAATAGGCTACTCGCTGCGATTGCGTCCATAGAGCATGGTAAGTTAGGTCCCCGTCCCAGGCACAGATGGCGATACTGTCCGGCTGACTCTTGCAGCGATCCCGGACCATATCATGGATACAACATCGTAAGGGCGCCGGCGCCGTGGTGTTCCATGTGCGGATAGTTGCACGATCCTCTTCGCTGAGGACCTCCACCTCTTGGACGCGATTTATCTTGCCCGCTAAGAGTTGTTGAAAGACATGTTCATACTGCGCCAAGACACGTAATACTTGGGGCTCTGAGATCACAATCTCGTCGAAGCGGGCTTCTACCTTCACGGTCTCCCATTTATCGTCCAACACGCATTCCACAATCAAAGGGTAGCTGTGGAACCCCTCCATGGAGCCCTCCATGACTTCAACGCCAGGCAAACCAGCCATAGCGCCCTTTTCCACTTCAGTGGGAGCCTGGACTAAAAACAGGTGGCCTAGGTTGAGACTGGCAGCGGCCTCGGGAACGATGCGGCGGATGTTTTGCAGACCCGTGTGCTCGTAGGCGATCATCTCCGTGGCCTGGTCTTGCACCCCTGACAGGAAGTCGTGGACTGTTTTCTCTCGATCAACACGTATCCGAACCGGCACCGTAGCGATCGTCGGTGCCACCAGGTCAAGGATGTCTACCACGGGAGCGCTACGACCCGACACCGTTACCGCGAAGATCACGTCGTCCACCCCAGTCCACTGGGCCACGACCATTGCCCAGGCGGCGCGCAAGACGGTCGATACGGTCTCGTGGCCTCGGTAGCTGTGTCGCGCCATATACCGCGTTACTTTCTGCGCCACGTGGGGGCGATATTGAGCCTGGCGTAGAACAGGAAATTGTGCGGCGTGGACTTCCTCTAACTGCCTTCGCCAAAATGCTTCATTTCTGACTGGGTCAACGCCTTTCAGATACACGACAAAGCGTGAAAAGGGGACAGCAGGAGGAATGTGGTCGTCTTGGTACACTAGACGTAACAGCTCAGCGATCTTTCGAAGACTCCATCCGTCGTAGGTACTGTGGTGGCCGGTCCAGACGAAGAAGCGCTGGGTGGTGCTCTCTTCACCCTGACCAGGTTCTTGTATTAGAGCAAACCGTGTGAGTGGACTACCGTAGGCTACTGGAGTCTGATGGTCTGCGGCCAGGTAAGTAGAAAGTGAGTCTGAGTGGATCCAGGACACCGGTTGGCGTACGACCACTTGGATGCAGCCTTGCCGTCCAGCGGGAACGATCCGGGTCCGCAGAACGGCGGTCAACTCTGCGACCCTCGTCCAAGAAGCACAGAAACGATCCAGGTCGACCTCTGGCCCGAGGCGGAAAATTCGCTGTGCCATGTACGCCGCTGCTTGCTGAGTTGAGATAGCCATCAAGCCTTCCTGGAGTGGCGTGCATGGGTAAATATCTTCGATTTGGGCCGTCGCGACGCTACACTGGTCAGCGATGACTTCGAGCTGCGATTGGAGTAGCTTGTCTGGCCCGGCTCCAGCTCCGGCCTCAGGTACCCAGAGAGAGAATGGTGGTGCATTCGCCACCGGATTGTTCGACTTTCCAGAGTCTTGGTGGTCTATCGTACGGGCTAGATCTACGATCCGGGGATGCTGAAAGATATCAGCGACTGTCAAGGCCAGCGAGAGCCCGCGTCCAGCAGCAACCAGCCTCATAGCCGAGATCGAGTCGCCGCCCATTTGAAAGAAATGGTCGCGCATGCCGATCTTGTCCGGCTCCAGACCGAGCGCCTCTGCCCATAGAGTTTGCAAACGGCGCTCTGTCTCACTCGAGGGTAAGCATTTCTCCTCTCCATCAGAAACGACCGTCTGAACGTATTCGGTGGCGGTCTTATTCAATATATCGTGGATAATTCGTCTATCTAGCTTGCCTGAACTATTGAGAGGGAGGTGATTCATCGGGATATAGGCATTAGGCACCATATAGACCGGTAAGACGCTAGATAGGGAGGCGCGTAGCTGCTGAAACGTCTCTCGTAGGAGGCTTGAGGGTGTGAGAGGGATGGAAGCTGACTGTGGCTGGTTGTCGCCCGTAAGATATCGGCTGTCCATTTTAAAGTCGACCGCCGCAGCTAACAAGAACTGCTCACCACGACCGTCAGTGCCTTCGCGTACCACTAGGTCAACTGCTGCACTTTGAACCTCAGGTAGCAGGCGGCTGATCCAATTTTCGATCTCCCCAATCTCGACTCGCTGGCCTCGGATCTTAATTTGGGTATCTTGACGGCCAATATAGGTAAGGGAGCCATCGCTATTTTGTCGTACGAGGTCTCCGGTACGGTAGAAACGGCGTCGTCCTGGGGCCAATCCGAGCTGGGCGACGGCCCAAGCTGGGTCTGTAACGAAGGCCGCCGCCGTCTTAGCCTCGTCGTTCAGGTACTCGCGAGCGAGTAGTGGGCCTTCCAGTAGTAGCTCACCAGTTACACCGATAGGTGAGAGACGATGATAGTCGGTTAGGTCGGTCACCCAGAAGCATCCCGCCAATGGTAAACCGATCGAGGGACCTTCGTCCACAAGCGGGTCACTGTAAGAGGAAGCAATCGAACATTCCGTCGGTCCATATGCAATAAGGACTGTCGCATGTTGTGCCCAGATCTTGATCATATCCGGCTTCGATATCTCTCCTCCGAGGACTAATACTCGTAACGAAGGCACCGTGTATGGAGAGAGAAGTTGTGCAACAGTAGGTGTCAGTTGGACAAAATTCGCCGATATCATTTCCATGGCGCCAGCGAGGTTGTTGAGCCTGTCAGACTCAGGTATGATACAAACGCACCCGCCATATATAACAGTCGCAAAGATATCAGCGATGCTCACGTCGAAAGTAAAGGCCGAAAACTGGAGGGTCCGGGTCTGCGGACCCATATGAAATCTCTGACCTTGAACCTGGAGGCTAGTACACAGTGCGGCGTGCTCCAGCACAACGCCCTTTGGCTTGCCTGTGCTTCCAGAGGTATATATAATCCAGGCAGCATTATCCGGGGTCACTGTCGAGTTTGACGCGGTAATGACAGGGAGAGTAGCCAGCCACGACCCATCCACAAGGAGTACTTGGGGAACGAGGCCAGCTAATCGGCTCGCCTGCATCTGGTCCACTATGATAATCGACATAGCGGTATCTTCGACAATTACCCCCAGGCGGGCTCGAGGGTGCTGCGTTCCCAGCGGCACAACCACGCCACCAGCTAGGAGAATAGCCAGCATCGACACGACTGCCCATTGAGACTTGTCCATACACAAGCCGACCTTGATCTCTGGCCGAACGCCGCTTCGGTTGACGAGGTGGTGAGCCAACCGTTGCGCCTGCATCCACAACTCGCGATAGGTCAATTCGCCATCCCACGCGCTGACAGCGATGGCATCCGGCTGGCTCTCGCACCGTGCCTGCACTAGGTCGTGGATACAGCACTGTAGGCGCGCCGGCACTGTGGCATTCCACTCCCGAATCTGCGCACTATCTTCCGCACTCAGGGAAGATATGGTCCTCAACTTCTCGTCGGGATTTTGGACCAGCCTCTGTGCGATACTAACGACAGTGCGCAGCAACCTCTCCGCGCCCGCCTGGTCCGTGAATGACGTCCGCCACTGGAGGCCAAAACCTAGGCGATCGTCCGTGGCTTCGATGCCAAGCGCGAGATCATAGTCCATGCCATCATCCGCACTAATTGCCTCCAAGTCGATATGCTCCCCGCGACTGGCAGCGAAGCCCGACCCGCGCCTGTAGGAGATCCCCGTGTTGAATAGGCCTTGCTCGGGAAGCCGGAGAGCGTGCTGGATCGCCGCTAGAGATGTGCGTTGATGATCCAGGCCCTCGAGGAAGCGATCGCGGACCCGCTGGATGGCTTCTAGGACTGTCATACCTCTGTCGATGTTGATATAGCACACTGTCATGTATATCATCGGACCCACCAGTTCGTGAATGCCCTCGACTGGGGCGTCGCGTCCGTTGATAAGGTAGCCGAAGCAGACGTTGTTTGATGCGGTGTAGCTAGCCAGCACCAGCCCCCATGCCAGCTGAATGATGTTTGCCACCGTGACGCCGCGGTTTTGGGACAGAGCCCGGAATGCGGCCAAATCTGTGATTTGCGCTGTGCTCATCTGGACAGATTGTTGGTGGAACTTCGAGGTTGCTGGATGCTTCGATAAGGGCGGTACATGGCTAGGCTGGGCATGTTTAAGGAGCCGCGTCCAGTACTCGAGATCCACGGCGCGGGACTCTTGCTGAAGGTAAGTTATGTAGCTGCTGTAGAGGCGTCCTGGGCCCGGCGGAAGTCGTCCATCGTACGCTTGCACCCAATCTTGTACGATGAGTTGGATCGAGGAAGCATCACACAGGGCATGGTCGATGTCTAGTATGGCTTGCGTCCGGCCAGTGGTGGTTTGTATGATGGTCAAGCGATGACCGGGTCGGCAATCTTGGCGTTCAAGCCTGGCAAGAGTAGATATTTGAGCTGCCACTTCGTTATCTTGACATTCGATGACCATAACAGCGGCCTTCCACGACTTGAGCACCATCTGGTGGTAAGGGTCCGTAGCCGAAGAGACTTCGACTATGGCCGTTCTCAGGATACTATGACGGTCAACTACACGCTGCCAAGCCTCAATAAGGACTTCTACACTAGGCACGGGCGATGTTTCCCGCCGCCGAATTTCACAAACTTGCCGGACCTGGTAGGTTCTTGGGTCCTTCGCTTGACTGATCAAAATTCCTTGCTGGACGGGAGAGCAGGGGTAGATGTCTTCTATGTCCCGCAGGTCCACGATACCCAGCTGTGGCAGGTATATCCCTTCGAAGCTGTCCAGTTCCTCTGCTGTTACAGTTGCCAGTGGGAAGTCACTGACAGTCGCGACAGGCTTCATCTCCATCAGCCGACGGATCAGTTCGCACATAGATTGCTCGTATCCCTCCAACCACTGCTGAATCCGGGACTGGTATTGGGTCTCGGGGCCGAATCGGAACACGGTGCAGGCCCTCCCCGCCACTATAGACGCATTCACGTCAAAGATAGCCTGCGCTCTTGTGTTGGCGCCTATGGCCGAGGGGAGGGCCATTTCCCTATCTTCATCCACCGTCTGTAACACAAAGAGACTGTCTTCCCGTTCGAGCTGCTGGTATCGGCCCTGATAGTTGAAGAGAATTTCCGGGTAGTCGTGGTCCCTGAACGCTTCTCTGCCGGAGCTGGTCCGAAACCGTGAAGTGAAGTAGGGCAACCCCTTCCCAGGGACGCTTCGACGTCTGTCCTTGGTCCGGCGGAGCGTCTCAATCACGTCATAACCGGCGTTAGGAACAAAAAGGGGGGTAATCGTAGTGAACCACCCCACTGTCGCGGACAGCTCAATCGTGTCGTCCCAAGACTCTCGGCCGTGGCCCTCATTGAACACCGCCGGCACCTCTCGGTCAGGAAAAGCGTGGTGAAAAGAATGGAGCAGGGCGGCCAGGAAAATCTCGATTGGCTCGGTACGCATCGCGTGATGACACGAGCCGAGGAGGAGGGATGTTGTGTGCTCATCGAGCCAGACTTTGCGCTGCTCGCGGTGTGCCTCGATGCAAAACCCGCGCTCGAGCCCCCAGTACGCCCACTCAGGGCTCGGGACTTTGTACGGCAGGACCCGCGAGGGTTCCAGCTGCCAGGACGGTATCTCGTCCTGTAGCCGGCACCATGTTTGGAAAGAGAGTCCTTTAGGGACTGATAGCAACTGCTTCTCCAGCACCTCGGTGAGGTCATGGAGAATGATCCGCCACGATACAAGGTCAACGACAAGATGATGGGCGACCAGGAACAACATTTGAACCTCACCCTGCTGGAGCACGTGCACGGAGAAGACCGGCCCGTTCTCCAGGTCCAGTGACGTCTGCGCAGATGTCAGAGCGTCGATCAGTTCGGCCTCACGTTGAATTTGAAGGACTCGGAGGCGATACGATCCGATTAGCTTGTCGTCAATAGTTTGTCGCCACCCTTCCTCACTGTTGCCGTGAAATCGTGCCCGGAGCATGGCGTGCTTGGCGACGACCACTTCCACGGCCCGGGAAAGGGCGTGAATGTCAACTGGTCTCGTGACACGAACCAGGACGCTTTGGTTAAAGCGGTCCTCTCCCTGTGTTTGTAGTCCGTGCGCTGCGGTCACCCTGAAGAACAATTCCTGTACTGGTGATAGAGTAAACGGCTCGAAAGAATCGTAAGCCCGGTCAGCACCGCTGTCGGTATTCGCTTTGGTATGCAATGTCAGCTGAGTGATGGACTGGCACTGGAGCACGTCACGAACGGTGAGGATAATGTGACGTCCACGACATTGCGATACCACCTGCATCGCCGTGATCGAGTCGCCTCCGAGGCTCAGAAACGATCGGTTGAGCATCACCTTGGCAATGGGGACGTTAAGGACCTCACTCCATACCTCGCGGAGCTCGCGCTCTAAGCGGGTCATGGAAATCTCCATAGCTTCGACCACCTCCCCAGTCGGGGCCAAGTCGTCGAGCTCGGCAGCATCAGTGGTGGTTAGCCACTGGAGTAGCTGCCGCCGATCTATCTTGCCGGAAGCATTAAGCGGGAGTGCCTTGACGAGTATCCAAAGGGTCGGGACCATGTACGGCATCACTCGCTCGTACAGCGACCGTTGGATCTCCTCCAAGTGGAACGACATTGCCGCTCGCACCTCTGCATCAACTGTTAAAACCTCAGAGGAGCGAGACGCTGAAGATGCGTAATCATGGAGACTCAGGAAAGCGACAAGTTTCTGAGCGTGTACACCTTCCTTGGTGTAAACCACGGCGGCTTGGCTCGTGGCTGGATACTGACAGATATGGTGTTCAACCTCGCCGATCTCCACTCTTTGACCGCGGATCTTGATCTGCGCGTCTCGGCGGCCAATATAGGTGAGGGAGCCGTCGTTGTTCTGGCGCACGAGGTCTCCGGTGCGATAAAATCGTCGCCCTGGGGTGAAACCAAGCTGGGCGACCCAGGCCGGGTCCGTGACGAAGGCCGCTGCTGTCTTGACTGGGTCATTCAGATACTCGCGGGCGAGAGACGGCCCTTCCAGCAACAATTGACCCACCACGCCGACTGGAGAAAGGAGGTGGTAGTCAGTGGGATCGGCCACCCAGCAGTTTCCTGCGATTGGGAATCCGATTGTCGACACGTCCTTTGGGTTTGTAATTGGCCTGCTGCACGCAGAATGGATAGAGCACTCCGATACTCCGTAGGAATTCAGAATAGTGGCATGATGCGCCCAAGCGTCCACAATGGCTGCCTGTAGAGGTTCGCCGCCTATAAGCAAGGTCTGTAGAGAAGGTACAAGATCTGGCGTAATCAACTGTACCACCGTGGGCGTGAGATTGCCAAAGTTGACCTCGAACTCCCGCATTGCCTCAGCCAAGCGATTCATTCGATCATCCTCCGAGATGATACAGACGCAGCCGCCGTATATAAGAGTCACGAAGACGTCAGAGATGCTAACGTCAAAGGTAAAGGCTGCAAACTGTAGAACGCGCGTCTGAGGTCCTGTACCGTACCTCTGACCTTGAATCTGAAGGCTGGTAGACAAGGCCGCATGCTCTAAGACAACCCCTTTCGGCGTACCCGTGCTGCCAGAGGTGTAGATAATCCAAGCGGCATTCTCTGGAGTCACTGTCATGCATGGTGCCGCCGTCGTCGCTGCGATGATTGCCGGGAGCGTGGCTAGCCACGAGTCGCTAAGAGTTATTAGGTGCGGCGCCAGGCCAGCCAGCCGACGCGCTTGAATTTGGTCCACCAGTATGACCTTCATACCGGTGTCCTCAACTATACCCTCAACCCTAGCGCGGGGGTGTTGTGTCCCTAGGGGGACCACGACACCACCCGCTAAGAGGATAGCCAGCATCGATACCACAGCCCATCGAGACTTGTCCATACACAAGCCTACCTTCACCTCAGGTCCGACATGGTTCACGAGGTAATGGGCCACCTGCTGCGCCTGTTTCCATAGCGCACGGTATGTTAACTCGCCGTCCCAGGCGCAAACGGCGACGGCGTCCTCCGGCTGACTTTCGCACCGCTCGCGGACCATATCGTGAATGCAGCATCGCAGGGCCGTCGGCAGCGTGGCGTTCCACAAACGGATCTGCGCAGTGTCTTTTGTGTTTAGCATCACTAGGTCAGAGATGGACTTGTCTATTCCCTCAACTATTTGCAACACGCCAGTCTCAAACAACTTCCCCATTACGGTCACGTCGTCTTTCATGCTCTCGGCCCAGTATCCTATATCGATATCGAGCCCCTCGTCGTCGGCCTCAACATTGACGCGAATGTCATACTAGCCCCTCGTCAGCTGTTGGTAAGCTCCGTACACAGAACATAGACAACTCACATCGACTGGATTGACCACCTCTTCAATATCAACTCGGACGTCTCTTGAGGCAAATTCAGCCGCCATCATCTTGCGTTGAAATGATATTGTTGTGTTGCCCCACTTGCGTGCCGAATTGGTCACTCCTACACCAGTCCCCGCCATTTCCAAATGCTGGAATGGCAGGCTTTGTAGGAAATCTGCGACGACCTTTTGCAGCAGCTCACCCACTTTCGCTGCTTTGGAAAATTCGACACGACATACCAAAGACTTGACGAATGCTCCGATAGTGTGCCGGATCCCGCGCAGAGGAGCATCTCTTCCCGACGTGACATACGAGAACAAAACGCTTTCTGACCCCGAAACCACCCTCAACACCAGGGCCCAAGCCAAGTGGCAGATGCTGGAGAGCGTTACGTTGTGCGCCGCGCACAGGTTGGTCACCGACACTTTGTCGAGCCCAAATCGGAATCGGAAAGACGCAGCGTTCTGTAGGTCTGGCGCTCCTGCCGGTATGTTTGTTGGGTCTGCGCCACGCAGGTAGTCTGACCAATAAGTCGAAGTTAGGTCAGTCCTCAGACGATTCTCGTAAGAAACAAAGTCTTCATAACGAAGGATCTTATCTGTATATGGTTCCTGGTAGTATGCTAAGTAAAGGTCGCGTAGAATGACTTCCGCGGACTGACCGTCCATGAGGGCATGAGATATATCTAACCGGAGGTAAACTTCTTCGGGTGTACTTTGTATGAGGAATAGCCGATGTTGGGGTTTCGAGGGTTCGAACGGTTGAACTTGTTGTGAACTAAACGGAGAACTGGTAAGGTGCTGTTGGCCTTCGTAGATGTGAACTTCAGGAATTGCTTTTTTCAATACTATGCCCGCGAACCCGTCTTGACGGGGGAGGCCGTTGACGAAGACCGTTCGCAACGTTGCATGACGATGGACCACTTCCTTCCAGCTCGATGCCAATCTCCATGCATTCACGGAGCCTGGCTTGGGGGTTGAAAACTTTAGAGTGAATGCACATTGATACTTCCTTGGATCGACTTGTTGGCTGGTCAAAAGGTCTTGCTGCATGTGCGAGCATGGGATAACTTTCTCAATATCTTCGATTGGCCTACTAGCCACTTGTGATAGGTCTCTTTCCACCAACATTTCCAGCTCCGGATAAGACATATCCGCTAATCCGAGGTCGCTAAACGTGGGAATGGCATGTCCGGGCTTCAGGCTTGATAGCAACTTCTGTAAACCGTTTCTGACTCGATTGGCAAACGTTCCCCTGTTCAAAAGCCCGTGACCCTTGTCGTTGGTGGAGAATATGCACGAGATGCAGCCGTTGTCGAATTGGGTACTCATGTACAAGCATTTCTGAGCCGAAAAGTCCTGCGCATGTTGGTATACCATTGCTTGTCTTTTACTACTGAGGTCCCAAGGTTGCTCCTGTGGAATGCCGCAAGTGTCGACCACGATTGTCCAGCCTCCCGCTCGTTGAGCATAGTCCGATTGGCCAGCCACTGATATGACCGAATGCATGTCGCGCGTCTTGACCGAGTATCCCCGGGTCGCATCTTTGATATTACGGAGGACTTGAACACCATCAAGCTCGCCAGATATATCGCCTTCAAGATGCCACAAGGTATCGTGACATCCAATTTTTGGTGGATCAAAGGTCAAGCCGGCATCTTGCATGATGTATATGTCGATTGGCGCCTGGTCATGGGCGGTAGCAGAGCTCATGGCAAGCAGCACTGCGGAATGTAAGATGTCCGATGCATTTGTGCGCAAAATGGCATGACATGTACCATGTAGTAACCGAGCTGTCATGTCCGAGTCAATGGTTAGAAGTGCTGCCTCGGAATGCTCGTCCAACATGTCCGGCTTGAGTTGATCTAATTCCCCCAGGAGAGTCCGCCTTCCCAGAGCGGCTTTCAAGTCAGAGGCTTGCTCTTCGTGGGAACCATTTTGGATTGCATGGACATCGTTCGCTCTTCCATCGCCGAGAAGGGTCTTTCGGAGGTCTCCGACAATGGTATGCCAGGAGGAGAAGTCCATAAATGCACGATGACAAGCCAGTACTAACTCCGACGGCTCGTGGTCAGACGTGAACAACATCCCGCCAAAAATCGGTCCCTTCGTTACGCCAAGCCCATCGGTGAGTTCGCAAAGATCTGCTCGGATGGAGCCTGGTTTAGAGAGTGGACGCACGAGAAAGAGCAGGGCATTTTCCGTGTCAGAGGTAAAGCTGTATGCCAGATCTTCAGCATGTGGCAGTTGCGTACGCAGAATAGGATGGCGTTTCACGATCGTGGTCATGGCGATGTATGAATCGTAAGGCGAAAGGTTCTTTCCCACGGCTACCGTTGTGACCAAGAGGGCGCGCATTCGGAGATGCAAGCGTTGGGCCGCTGTCAACTGCATTTTTGAGTTGATAGAAGGACCTGTCCTAGCTCGCATGGTCTCGTTCCAGAGCTGCGAGATACTGCTGCTACTGAGAATTTCGGCAATCCCAATCGGAATGCCAATCTCTTCACAAGCTGCCATCACTCGCACCGCTCTCAGCGAATCCCCTCCGAGGGCTAGAAAGGATCTCGTTGCATCCAGGTCATGGACCTCTTTCCCAAGCGCCTTTGCGCAAATTTGACGTATTTGGCTCTCCATTTCGGGCGCAGAAATCTTCCGAGAGCACAGTTGAATGTAGTATTCTTCTGTGCCTTCTTTCAATACTAGCAGGAACTGTCAAGAATTAAAAGAGATGAAGATATATCGAACAATCCGTTAGCCATGTAAACCTAAAGTGCAATGAACTAGGTACAAGACGTTATAGCTTTCGAGCACTTCCGCGGCTTTCGAGCTTGTGAACGCACCGGCATGGATCTGCCATCATACCGTGATCTTGGCCTTTGAGGGGTTCCAAATTTGCCTTTACAGCGAATTCCTTCATGAGCCCAATCTGTTAGCGTTGTGCCTTTTTCAGTTCGCCAATACTCTTCTGGGGCCGAGGACGCCTTATTGAAAAGCGGGTCACGATCAAGCCTGGCACAGACCAGACACATCTCTCATATGCTGGCAAATTTATTTTAAAAATACCACATTCGCGTTTTTACCTTGTCGATACTAGTTCGGGGTTGAATACCTGCTCAATCGCACCACAGTGGTGTCGATGAAGTATAACCCTGGTTCACAAAGTCTCAGGAACATCACCTCACTTGCCCCACTTTCCTTCTTCTTAGGTCCCCGACCCAAATGAGGACTGTAAGCACTAGAAAATTGCATCAGGGCCATCGCGCTGCCAATATGGATGTCCGCACCTGGGTAGGTAGGTATGCAAGCGTGCTGCTACAGGGTAAATGACCCCTGCCTGGAAGTTTGTAGGACTACTATCCTAGGGACCCAACTGTGGGTTATGTGTAAGCTTGCTCAAACCGGATACGCATGCGCGTGTCATACGCGTATTTGTAATACAGGAGGAAGTAGGGAGGTAGATCGGTGTCCAGTCACCTTCTTTAGGAAACCAGTGCCAGTTAACAACCACACGTGCAGCTGCGGCTTAGGCTTAGCTCGCAGCGCCCAGTTCGTTCACACTCCTGTTAGGCGACAACACCCGCCTTCCCTGCGCCCGGTTAACCCTAAGGAGTAAGATTCCAGAACATCGTTACGCCCTGCCCCACCTCCCCCGGAAGGTGTCAGCCAGCCTTTCGGACTTCGCCGTGAGGTGACACGGGTGTGTATTAGTAAATCTGCTTTCGAAAACATTTTGATACATTTTTCTTCGCGAGGTGAGCAGCAAAAAAGTACCTTTGACACTTTGAGTAGCTACTGCCTCAGTCAATAACTTTGTGAACCGAAAATGGGGGACGCAAACCTCATCCTCATTCAACGGCAGCAACTATATGACTCATCAATGCCCCTGTTTCTAGTTCACGATGGGAGTGGAAGTGTAGGCAGTTATAACCGCCTGGGAGACTTTGGTCGAGACACTTGGGCATTTGAAAATCTCAAAGTTCAGGAAAGTGGAATCTGGACAGGGGGAATTCAAGCAATGGCAGAACTCTATTGCCAAATGATCCAGGATGTTTACCCCCAAGGAGGTATCATTTTGGGAGGTGTGTATGACGCGGTTTGGCCAGTCCGAATCTCGTTGACTAACCATCAATAGGATGGTCAATCGGAGGGCTCATCTCACTGGAGATGTCGCACATTCTCTCGAAAGTTCCTAATATTACCGTCGTTGGTGTTGTGATGATCGAAAGCCTGTTCCCCGGCCTTCTCAACAGCCAAAACATTACGGTGGAGGTACAAGATTTGTGCTTTAGAAGCAAAATGTCCGTATACGAGCGGAAAAGGGTGGCGAAACTCATCTTCGAGGCAACGCGAGTCGCAAAGTCATATGAGTCGGCGATTTGGACACCAGAAATATCGAGGCACGATGACTTGAACCACTGCAAAATCGCCTCGGACTCTGCAGCACTGCGAACGGCAGATGCAAATCCGCCCTCACCTCTTGTGTTGGTCAAAGCGAGTGATCCTGTCCCCTCGCGTCAAGGTACTGTGATACCTACGCTGCTTGGTTGGGATCAACTTGGAGATCGCTGGATTACCGCAGTGTATACGGTTCAAGGTCACCACTTCAGTATTTTCGAAGAGGAAAATGTGAGCTTATTGCGTTATGATTTAATGTATTCCAACTCCTTGAAGCTAATTAGAACCGCTTTAGGTTGGCTACCTTACAATCATCCTTAGAGAGGCCTGCATCATCCTTGAGATGAGTCTTTAAAAGTGACAATAGAGACCAGCGGAAGTCTTCTGGCGCCAGTTCTGTGTAGACAGCTGCAGTTGTAGAGCTGCAGTCTCCCTAAATTCGTTCTGTCTCCCTTCACTAGATCCATGGCCTACATGTCATCCGACTCAAATTCATAGAACTCATTTCGGCATTATGAACAGACAGGGGCAAGTGAATTTCCGTGGAGGCAAAATATATTGGCCCGGGCTCGCTAGTACAATCTCTCACCTCTTTTAAGACTCTATCAACCCAAAATCTCAGCTTTAGTAAATCTAGAAGCCTTTCACGGGATTTCTACACTTATTGTCGTGCTGTTTCTTCTTGGTAGACGAATTATGAAGCAGGGCAGCTAGCATTAAGTAGCCATCCTTACGTAAGGGCTTGCGGGAAGAGGGAGGTACAATCTCATCCCCACTTTGACTCCAGACCACATAAAAATGTGAGGAACTTGTTCGACGCTAGATGTGAGAAGCGATTGAGGTGTAGAAGCTAGACAGGTACTGATAGTGACCACCCAAGATTTGTTGATACTGTACTGTGGTATCGGGCCGAAGTATTGTGCATTGCCGGTGCTCCGCAGAGTTCTCCGAAATCATGCATCCAACTAGCAGGTAAGATAGCAAGGCCCACGCAACGTTCCCCGCATATATTCTTTAACTAATTGGGCTTGACGGGCGTGCATGGGCTGCTGCAGAGCACAGACGATGTACAATCCTTCGGCAGGGTACCACAAGATTGGCCCCTCCCCTGCAGGAAACCCAAGAGAACGGATCAACGTTCGCAAGGATTAATAATGCATACAGTCTCCTTCTGGCAAGCAAGCCGTGCCCTTGGATTCGGTGTTGAAACAGACAATATCTACCACGTGGCCAAACCTGCCCTGTCCCCGTCCCGGAGCATGAGATTCCCCTACGACTTGGTATAATGATGACCAATTATGGAAAGGAAGAACAACTGAAGGGATCTTGTTGCACCAGCCGCTGATAGGTCGATTAGCGCACGATCATGACGGGAACAGAAGCAATCGTCTGACGGGCCGAGATCACTAGTGCTGACGGGCCGAGATCGCTCATGCTGACGGCTGAGATCGCTCGCGCACTCCGGCACTTACTCAGAGACCCGGCCGATGTATTGTTCTCTGCAGGGGTGCCCCTGTTGACGCCACCAGAACACAATCCACTCATTATTGCACTAGCTCGTATAGAAATATTTCTTTCCGCTTCTCTGCTTCCTGTTTAACGCACTGCACTGACAAACCTATCTACATGGAACTATGAACACTACCTTACGTAACATACCTTACCCGCGATAAACGTATTTAAGTACAGACCCTACTGTTTACACAGTATACTATATACTATATTATACTACTATAACTCTTTTTTAATTCTATAAATGAACGGTTTAAGTGTGCAACAACTAGTAAATACTGCACTAAGAAACACGCTAGCTACTATCTAATTCTTATAGCTAAGTACCTGCCTTGTTATCTTTAGCTTCCTATTAACTTTTTTACAAGTAGTAAGTTAGTAAGTTAGTTATTTTCTTAGCTTTCTAAAAAAAAAAATAATCAATATATATTATATTACTTAAACTAAGCTACTTGTATTACAAAAAATCTAGTATATTTACTTCTAATATAACTATATTAATAATGTAGAAAGTAACAGTGTAAAATCTTAAATAGAAACAAACATAGATAATAGAGAATCACCACATGTTATTAAATAGATAAAATAGCGTAGTAGACCTTATAACTATTATAGATGCTATTAAAAAAAAGCACAACTGTAAGGACGGGGCTCTGTACCACTGCGTACAGAATAGTATATATACCTGTCGCGTGTAAGGATCGTAGTACAAGCCGCTTCCAGCCTTGCAATGCATTATCCTTTGTAAGGACTAGCGGCCTTACAATAGCTAAACATATCATAGTTTTTATTAGTAGTAAGAAATACGTTGTATTGTTTTAAAAAAAACACGTAAGAAACTATTAAGTAGTACTATTATACTATAAAATAGTTTAAATAGATTATACCATAGTACTAATGATTTTTAAACTATAGTTTTTACACTAACGTTATAACTAATATAAACTAAAGCTTCTAGCTATTTAGTAATTTCATAATAAAGAATAGTTAGATAGAAAACTATTAAAACCATCTTTAAATTACTATATAGGAAAGCCTAGGCTCTATTATAAATTCCTAGCTTAGTTAACCTAGATAGCATGGAGAGACGCTGTAAAGTAGTAGTAATTGCGTACAAAGAAGCAACAAATGTTTCTACACAAGCCTGTACAATAATTAGTGTATTCTATTCTCGTAGTGTCAACAGGGGAGCCCCTGCAGAGTACAGATGATACAATATATTGGCTGTGTACCCTTGTAGTTGAAGCTAGCAGCTTCTGTGGTATCCGGCCGAAGGATTATACGTTTTGGTGTAGAGTGTCCCGAAACAATGCATACATCCAATTAGGAGGTAAGATAGTAAGACCCACGCAAGCTTCTTCGTATATACTATGTAACTAATCAGACTTGACTAGCGTGCATGGGCTCCTGCAGAGCACTGACAATGTACAATACTTCGCCCGGATACCGCAGTAAGCGATGATACCTGGCTCTGGCTCCAAGGAGACCTTCAGATGTGGGTCATCGGTGGGAACCTTCTGAACCGGGTTATCGGTGGGAACCTGCAGAGCACTGACAATGTACAGTACTTTGCCTGGATACCACAGTAAGCGAAGATATTTGGCTCTAGCTCCAAGGAGGCCTTCAGATGTGGGCAATCGGGGGGAACCTTCTGAGCCAGACGTGCGTAGATTATTACGAGGATATTCAAACAAATCTGGGTTGTCTGAGACTGTAAGGGACGTCTTGCAACCATAAATTGAGGGAAGATCTGCAATGCCCTCTGAACGTTGAAAACTTCAATGACTTTCCAACACAACTTTGGCAACCCTCACACAGATCAGCAACCTCGGTACCAATCTTCGACGGTCTAACCCCACAATGGATCACTGCAACGGATTCGCGCTATCTCATCGACTTGTATCTTCTAACCCAGATGCTTTGGAGCCCATCGCAGTCATCGGCTTGAGTTGTAGGCTCCCTGGGAGTGCAGTCAACGCACAGAAACTATGGGAACTCCTGGAATCTGGAGGTTCTGCTTGGAGTCCGTTTCCAAAAGAACGTTTCAACGACCTTGGTTTCCGCAGCGCAGATCCGGCGAACCATAAGCCCGGCACAGTAAGTTAATGGTACCCACTGATCGGGATGTACGCAACTAGAGGTCTATCTAACTTCTCTCCCGCGCAGACCAACACTCATGGAGGGCATTTTCTAGCTGGAGACATTGGGGCATTCGATGCCACCTTGTTTGGAGTTCACCCTATGGAAGCTAGTGTAAGTCAAACTTCAAAAGAGTCGAATCCTACGAAGCTGTATGGTGACAAGATCTAGGCCATGGATCCCCAACAAAGATTGCTCATGGAAATCGCGTATGAAGCTTTTGAGAACGCAGGATTAACGAAAGATGAGCTTTGGGGCTCAAACACTGGCGTGTACGTCGGACAGTGGACATCAGATTACCACGAGATGCTCGCCAGGGATACCGAATTCCCACCGGTCTACATGACCACTGGAACCGGCCCTGCTATATCATCCAACAGACTTTCGTATCATTTCAATCTGAAAGGCCCCAGCTTCACGCTTGACACCGGCTGCTCAGCAAGCTTGGTTGCTCTCCATCAAGCAATCCAAAGCCTTCGAAGTGGAGAAACGAGCCGAAGCTTCGTAGCTGGGGTCAATCTTACCCTGGATCCACAGAGGTACACATACCAGAGCCGGCTAAAGATGTTTTCGAACGAAGGTCGCTCATTTCCGTTCGACAGTCGAGCGAATGGGTACGGACGGGGCGAAGGCTGTTCAGGAGTTGTCCTCGAGCCTCTTTCGACGGCCTTGAAACGTAGAGCACCGATCCGCGCCGTGATCCGTAATTCGGTGGTCAACCAAGATGGCAGAACTCCTGGTATCAGCGTGCCGAGTTCCCAAGCCCAATTAGAGGCCATCAGGAAGGGATACACCCAAATCGGCCTACAAATCAATGCAGATTATGTTGAAGCACACGGCACCGGAACCAGGATTGGGGATCCTATTGAAGCAAAGGCTATTGCCGAAGCCTTTTCTCAGAGAAGCCCGGCCGAAGGTTTTCTCCCCATAGGATCCATCAAGGGTAACATTGGACATCTCGAGAGTGCAGCAGGATTGACGGCTATTATCAAGGCCGTCCTCATGCTCGAAAAAGGGATCATACCCCCACAGGTAAACTTCCAGGAAGCCAACGAAAATATCCGGCTTCATGATCTTAGGCTGAGGGTGAGTACTCTGATGTGAAAAGCCCCGGCAAGAATGATGTTGAGTTCAACAACAGATCCCCATTCAACCCGAAAAGTCAAAGTTAAAACGCATCTCGGTGAACAGGCAAGTCTTCCGAAATACGCAATTGCCTCATACAAATTTGCTTACAAGCCCACTTCAGCTTTGGATATGGCGGCACAAATGCTCACGTGATACTTGATGCGAGATCAAACGAGGTAAACGGTACAGGCCCAGAAGAAACTCAGGAGCTGGCGTACCCGCCACGAATATTTGTGCTGAGTGCGGCTACTGAGATATCTTGCAAAGCTATGGCCTCGAATTTGCTGGAGTACCTGGAAAGTACTGTGAATGGTGGCAGTTCGGATGATCTTTTAAATCAGCTTGCATACACCTTGGGCTGTCGGTCACTATTCGAATACCGCTCCGCAGCTATTGCAGCAGATATCGGCGAATTGAGAAAGCAGCTCCAGGAGATAAGTGAGACATCGCCGGCACGTCAGAGCTTGCGATCAACACCGCGGATTGGGTTTGTGTTCAGTGGCCAGGGGGCTCAGTATTACAACATGGGCCGCGAAATTTTTGGCCTGTGGCCGACCTTCACAGAGTCTCTAACACGCGCAGGGCAGTGTCTAGCCCACTTGGGATGCTCTTGGGACATGGCTGCTGAGCTTATGCGATCTGAGAAAGAGTCTAGGGTCAGCGAGCCCGAAATTGCCCAGTCATTGTCTACAGCCATCCAACTTGCCCTGGTCGACATGATGGAGGAGCTTGGAGTTACTCCTGCCTTAGTCGTGGGACATTCGAGCGGGGAGATTGCGGCTGCTTACTGCGCAAAACTCATCTCTTTTGAGGACGCGATGCGCGCGTCATATCACCGAGGTCGTCTGACAAGCGTGCTCCTGGGCAGAACCGACTATCGTCCTGGTGCTATGATGGCCGTCGGCGCAGCGCCTGAAGTAGTTGAAGACGTCCTCCGGTTGGTGGAAGGCTCATCAAAGAGGCTAAGAATAGCATGTTACAACAGTCCGTCCAATGTCACGGTTTCTGGAGACGAAAGCTTAGTCGACAGTTTGCAGAAGGAGCTGGAGCAGCGAAACTTGTTTAATCGAAAGCTGCGGACGGGTGGCGCAGCTTATCATTCGCACCAAATGCTCCACATCCAGCAAGAATACGCCGAGTCACTGGATGGTCTTAAAGGTCTTGAGGGGACTCGGTCAACAACTATGATCTCTTCGTTAACAGGCAAGGAAATTGACGCAAGAGACATCGACAAGGATTACTGGGTCCGCAACCTCGTCTCCCCCGTGCTCTTCTCGACGGCACTCAGGAAGATGTGGACTACTCAACGCGGCACCTCAAGAATTGATATTGTCCAGGAGATAGGTGCTCACACACAACTTGAAGGGCCAATTCAGCAAACATCGCGGACTCTCCAGAATTCAAACAAGACGACCTACGTTGGTACTTTGAAAAGAGGTGTGAGGGCCGACTTCGCTATACTTGGTGCCCTTCGGACACTGTTCATGGCAGGAGTTCAAGTCGATCTCAGACTTCCAAATACGGGATACGCTAAAACGGCCCCAACTCTTCTTACCGACCTACCTCCCTATCCGTTTGATCATTCTAAAACTTATTGGCATGAAAGTCGGCTATCTAGAGCGTACAGACAGAGGAGGTGCCTTCCGCACGAGCTCTTAGGGGTTCCTACATCGGATTCAAACTCCATTGAGCCAAAGTGGCGCCGTTATCTGCGCCTTGAAGAAGTGGCCTGGCTTCGAGGCCACGTTGTTCAGGGGCAAGTTGTCTTCCCAGGAGCGGGTTACATCGCCATGGGCGTTGAAGCGATACAGCAGAGTGTCCTGAGCATAAACCCGGCGGCACGGTTTGAGCAAATTGCCTTTCGCAACATTTGCCTGGGTCAAGCTCTCGTTTTGTCTGATGACAGGAAAAACGTCGAGTTGACATTGAGCCTTCGGCCCGAGACACAATCAGCAAGGACTTCTTCCAAAACCTGGCAGGAGCTGCGGATTTTCAGTGTCACGGATAACAACAACTGGACAGAGCATTGTCGTGCTCTGGTAAGCGTCGAATTGGCTACAGACCACAAACCTGATGAAGGGTTTCAGACAGCAAGCTACAGCGAGACCTCTCGCGCTCAGTTACCTAAGAATGCAAAAAAGCTCAAGGCAGAGAAGTTCTATTATACGAGCAAGCAACTCGGCCTCGACTGGAGCAGTCCCTTCGACAATCTTGTGAGCATTGAAAGAACCAGTACTTGCTCCCTCGCTACTATCAGGTCACCGAGTGTTATGAGCAGTCCGACGGAGACCGAGCGCAATGCATATTGGATTCACCCCGCGGTCCTTGACAGTTGTTTATTCCACGGCCTCTACGGAATCTTGATGGAGGAGGATGGATTCAGGGCGACTGTGGTTCCCACATTCATCAAACAGCTTGTCATCTCTGGTCAAAGTGTAGACCCTTCGGTCACAGACCTCACTTGCTATTCCCAAAGAACATCCGCTGGCTTGGCTTTCGACGTGGAAGTTTTTCGGAATGAGCTAACAGACACGAAACCGATCATCTCAGCATCTGGAGTGAGAGCCACACGTATTAGCGACATGCGCCCACTAGCCCAGAGTGAGCGTGGTATTTGCCACACTTTGAGCTGGGTGGCCCATATGGACTACGCCTCTAAAGATTACATAAAACGTCAATGCGGGTCAATAATAGGCCGAGGAAGCATACTGGAGAAAAATCGACAACTGGATTCCCTTGCTGCTTCCCACATCCGGTGTGCACTGAGTGAACTCTCAGTCGAGGAAATCCCGGATGGCTATCGGAAACTTTGGTTCTCTTGGATGCAGGAAACCATGTCCACCTTCAACGCAGTTGACATCAGCAAGGACACACTATGTGAAGATGGTGATCCTGCCTTTGCAGCCATCTCTCGTTTTGGGCCAAATTTGACAAGTTTGTTGAAGGGAACGGTACAACCAATCTCGTTACTCCTTGAGGACAATCTACTGGGCCGGATATATTCAGAAGAGCGTTGTCGCCGCTGCTACGCACAGATAGCAGCTTACTGCGCTGAATACGGACGCCAACGCCCCCAAATGAGAGTGCTAGAAATCGGCGCAGGCAGTGCGTCGGCATCATTACCGATATTGACAGCCCTCCGGAGCTCGGGTCGAGTGATGGCTTCCCAGTATGTTTTCACGGATATCTCGGCCGGCTTTTTTGATGCAGCGAAGGACGTTTTGGCCGATTTTGATGACACCGTCTCTTATCAAGTCCTCAACATTGAAGACGACCCAACCACCCAGGGCTTTGAGGCTGGGAGCTACGATATCATCATCGCGTCTAACGTTATCCATGCGACCAGGTCAATTTCCTCAGCGATCTCCAACGCTGCTTCACTGCTTCGTCCTAGCGGCAAGCTGATCCTGATGGAGATCACCCAGGATAGATTGTTCTACAACTTCATATTTGGAGCATTCGAAGGTTGGTGGGCAGGAAGTGAAGAAGGAAGAACTTCATCACCCCTCCTTTCCGCTGATCAATGGTCAGCAAAGCTTGTGCAAAATGATTTCGACAATGTGACTCCCGTGTTCGAGGATTATACATTCTCCGAGGGAGGTTCCATCAGTGTTTTTGTCGCCAATACCAAACGGCCACCAAAAGTGCAAGACGGGCCTCGAATACATGTGTTCGCGAGCTCAACGACAGAACCAAAAAGCGCACACACTGTGCAGGGACTACAGCTCCTGCTAGGTGATCAGATGGTGAATTTGTGCGAACTTTCAGCTTCGTGTACAGAGCGGAAGGCTTCTATACTCCTCCCTGACATTTGCGATCGTTTAGGTGTTAGCCTGCCCGGTGAGGATTGGTACAACATCCAACGTCATATTATCTCTTCGGACGTCGTTCTTTTTATCTCGAGCGCAATGGACGAAAAGACACGTTCAAGTGGATCGCTTGTAAAGGGACTCTGCCGATGTCTGCGGATGGAGCTCCCCGAGACTCGATTCATAACCCTGGAACTTGCTTCTCCAGCACAAGACGTCGCTTCAATGGCGGAAGTGCTTGCAACTCTTGTACAAAGCCCATCTTTCGATCTCTCTATAGCTCAAGATAAGATCGAAACGGACTTCTTCTGGAATGGAGAGCAACTCTTTGTGTCCCGAGTACTGCCCCAGCCTAATATGAGCAATCATATCTACGGCACACTAGGACTTCTACCTCCTAAATTGGCGCCTTTTCTGGATCCGAAAAGTTCTCTCATTGCGGAAACGGCAATTCCAGGTCTGGTTGAAACCATCAGATGGAAGCACGACCCATATCGGCCGGATGTCGGTCCAGACGATGTCAAGTTCCAGCTCTGCGCTGCCAGCATCAATTTCAAGGACGTTTTGATAGCTTCAGGGCAACTTGAGGGCATAACGGAAATGCAGAATGATTGCAGCGGGATCGTGGTCGAGGTAGGTTCTAACATGGCAGGCCGGTTCAAAGTGGGGGATCGCATCTGCGCTCTCTACTCTCGATCTTACACAAATTGGCCGATAGTCCATGGAGATTGCTGCCATCACATTCCAGAGCACATGACTTTCGAGGATGCTGCGTCCGTGCCCATTGTGTGGATCACGGTCTATCACTCCATAGTCGATTTGGGACGTCTGCAAAGGGGCGAGAGCATTCTGATTCATTCGGCAGCTGGGGCAGTGGGTCAAGCTGCCATCATGCTGGCGCGCCACATAGGCGCAGAGATCTTTGTTACGGCTGGAACAGAAGCGAAGAAACGCACCCTGATGGAACGCTATGGAATACCAGCAGACCACATCTTCTCGAGCAGGACTGTCGCATTCCGCGACCAGATCATGAAGCACACGAACGGGAAGGGAATTGATGTTGTTCTGAACTTTCTGAGCGGTGATATGTTTCGCGCCTCGTGTAACGTGGTGGCAACGTTTGGGCGATTCGTGGAGATTGGACGTAAGGACCTGATGAACGACGCGTTGATGCCCATGGAATTCTTGCTCAAGAATGTCAGTTTCGCATACGCTGACTTGGCCTTGGTGATTACGGAGAACAAGCTTCTTGCAAAACGGTTGCTCCATGAAGTGTTCAAGCTCCTTTCCGCCAACGCAATTACCACCGTGCCGGTCCAGACCATGCCAATCAATGAGATTGAGACCGCGTTCAGGACTTTGCAAGCCAGTAAGCACACGGGGAAACTAGTGCTTACCGTGCGCGCCGACCAGAAGGTCAATGTAAGTTGCTACCCTTGGAGAGCAAATGGATCCGACCATGCTGATACTATGTACTTGCTAGATTGTACCACCCAGCCCAGCAGCTGCAGCTCTTCAAAGTTCCGCTACCTATCTCGTTATCGGAGGCCTTGGCGGTCTTGGTCGACGCGTATGCACTTGGCTGGCAGACCGGGGTGCTAAGAACATTGTGGTTGCGTCACGGTCTATCGAGTCTAGTGACAGTGGCCACTCGATGGTCGAGGCCTTGCGACATCGAGGGGTTTCCGTTATTCTCAAATCCTGCGATGTATGCTCCGAAGAGCAAGTGCAGGGACTTGTTGCCGATATTAGGTTTCCGATTCGCGGCGTCATTCAGGCAGCAATGGTTCTCCAGGTAGACTTTCCCCTTATCTCTCTTCCTATGCTCCCACTGACAGCACATCCTAGGATGCTTTGTTTGAAGACATGGAAGTCGAAAAGTGGTTTGCGGCAATCGACCCAAAAGTCACAGGAAGCTGGAATCTTCACCATCACCTCCCCAAAGACCTAGACTTTTTCGTCATGCTATCGTCCATTGTTGCCGTGAGTGGGAATCTGGGCCAGTCCAATTACGCCGCAGGGTGCAGCTTTCAGGATGGTTTGGCACGATATCGGACGTCTCTCGGTCTGCCTGCTCACTCCATTAATGTCGGCGTTGTGGCAGAAGATGGCTTCGTCAGCGAAAATCCGGCTGTAGCCGCTTCATTGAAGAAACGCGGCTTCGACACTGTTGCCGTCCGTGAATTTCTGGCGCACTTGGACTATGTTGTCACCAATCCATTGGGTCCAGAGCCGTCTCTGAGTCAATCGTCCATTGGCCTCGCACCCGCCTCGAATGACGCCGGGTCCGGCCAACCCACCTGGACAGCAGGTCTGACCTTTGCGCACTTTTACGAAAAGGAATCGTCGCATGCGGTTCGACCCGGGGCTACCACCGATGTGCTTAGCACAATCTCACCTGCCATGAAAGTTGAAGAAGTTGTGGGAGTCTTCTCCACAGTCATCTTAAAGCAGTTGAGTAAGCTGATCGACATTGCGTTCGAAAATCTCAGTGCCGCGCGGAGTCTTGACAGCTATGGTGTGGATTCATTGGTGGCTGTTGAGCTGAGGAATTGGATTGGGGCATACCTGCAAGCAAACGTTTCCCTCCTTGCTCTGAGGAGCACGGAAAGTATCACAGAGCTTGCAGAACTCGTTACAAGAGAGTCTCGAATGACTTGGAGGAAGAAAGAGAATGGGGATGTATAACCTTGTCTCCGGGAATTTAATCAACAAGCGTCGTAAACAAATTCTATTACGGATGCAGGGGTGTAGGTGCCCGGGGATGGCAAAGATCTTGTAAGGATACATTAGGTACATTTTTCCTGCCTCCACAGTTGTTCAGTGTGTTGTCTATTAAGGTGCTCGTTTGTGTTTCGATTGTGGCCGTGATTGAGCGCCATCATACGCTACTAACCCATGAGCTAGACTATTGATGGTACATTAGGACGGTGCGAGTGAGAACCGATTCTTCCAATGTGGCTAAAAATGATTATTATCGAAATATGTTACAATAACTCTATCGCGATTGGAAATAATCCTATATATTAATATGCCTTGCCACTTCGACCCTTAAGCAACGATAGCTCAATCGTAATAATTAATGTAGCAGAAAATCTTGTTATTAAATTTATAAGTCATACATGAAGTTTTTTAATTCTTGTAGTATTTTAAAAGTAGTGCCAGTTTCTTTTAGCTGCTACTAGTACTATATAAGCTACTACATCATTCTATATGTTTACTTTAAAAGATAAATTTAAGTAACCTATTTCTACACAGCTCTTAGTTCTGCACACCTGGCACTATCAAAAGGCTATTCTTTATAGAATCTAGGTTCTACTAAGGATCTAGTTTTCTGGTACCGTAAGTATTAATTTATCTGTCCGTGTGGGAATTTTCGGCCTTGGGCAAGTAAAGCATCACATGCTGGCCTTATTGAAGCTTGCTACGCCTATACAATGTGATAGACTATCGCCCTTTCAGCTAACGAATGGAACTAGAATTTTTGGTCAAGCCACGGGAATCTGGTTTCGATTTGAGGGTTCTCCGTTGCTTCTATCCAGTCGCTTTGAGAGGCATTCCATCCTAGCATTGCGCTTATGGAAGTAGCCACGAACGATTCAGTAAGATTGGCTTTATTCTAGGACCTAGGGAGACGTCGAAGTCTTCGAAGTACTCGAGGCAGTCGGCAATACCGTTGGGATTCTTGTCGTTACTGGGATCATATAAGAAACATTTCATAATGTAGGTGGCTCCATCTTAGAAATACTATTTTCATGATTCTACGACGAAAGAGTATGCAAATGGAGGCGGCGGGGAGAAGCGTTGCAAGTTCGAGCGAGCGCAGTATGAATAAAGAACAAAACGCTGGACTCGATGAGAGTTTTAGGAAACTGTAACAAATATCCTCAAGAGTATTGAACTATGCGCTTTCTATATGAGACTCAGGGCTTCCAATAGGGCGTACTACGGTCCGTACAAAGTGAACCGTAATGGCCACGTGCTTAGTACAACAGTACCCAGTTCATGAGCTGCACTGTACGTCTAATAGTTCCCTAGGTACAGTGCGTAGTATATATTATATTTCCATTTTAAAGGGTGGTATAGCAATTCTAGAGGAGTAGAAGGGTTCGAGGCTACAATACGTACCCCTACCTCTCATCCTCACTGCTGTACGAACGTACACAAAATTACCTAATCGTACATTACTACGCCTCGTTGGAATCACTGATGAGATTTTAGAGAAGGAAAGAAAAGAAGTTGACTTGGAGATTTTGTGATGATGGTTTGGATCGTGGATGAGGGTCTTTTATCACCTTGGACGCCATCGCGCATTTGCTCAGCTTCGAGTGATGGGTGTTAATCACTTAACAGGGTGATGCTAGGTCAATGTACACAGCCCTTAAGGTGCGTGCCTACACTGTTGTATGGATTGGCGACTGTGATGAAAAGATCGAGTTGAGAACCCTTCACAAAAGCAAGGGCTCGAACTGGAGGGTTTAGGTACAGGACATTATGGCTGTGGTTTAATAGAGCAATGGACGTGGCTAGGGTGGCCGATTTGAGTCTCAAGGTATTCATCCACTCTAGAGAGTGTGCTTTTCTACTTGAACACTAGGTCTGAAAAGGGTCTACCCTAATTTTTATATTCATCCAGAGGACCCTATTGGCCAAGTCAAAGGGTTCTCTGCCCAGAGCCTGCAGTGTCCAGGATATAGTTGGAGTGATTTAACTACACCCGTGGCTTGCGGCTTCGGGAGCCGCGTGTCGGAGTGTGGGGTTTGATGGGGCAGTGTGTCCAACCGTTAGTTACGGAGCCTTTTGGAGGTTGTATAGTACAGTTACGGAAGAGTTGGCTGTTACTAACTAACTGTACAGAGGAGATGACGTTAGTGTACAGTTTAGATACAGTAACTAAAGTATTATAAAGTAATTGCGCTAAAGATTAAGACTATACTTAATTAGAAAGTTATAATACCCCTTATAAGATCTACAGTTATTAATCTTACTAGTAACAGTAATGTTATGTAACTAATTCTTCTGCAGTTAAGGAGCCTCTATTATTAACACTAATAGTTAATTCTTTTTTATTGTAATAGTTTTCTTAGCCTGTAAGAAGCACTGCTCGCACTTACATAAGGTTGCTAAGATTAATAGGAAATTTAGGGCAATGTTAATCTTAAAGGTGATTCTAACGTTATAGCAGGCATTATTTAGGTGCTCCTTAGCCTAGGTATCTTGCATATGCTTTAAGGGAGTTGCTTCACGCGAGGACAGCCTAGATAGGCTAGGTAAGGCCATGCGGGCCTTCTCTAAGCGTCAGGATGAGGCAGCATGATATATCTGGGTGGCAGAACGGCTGGATGAGGCATGTGAGGATGAGGCCCGCGAGGATGGGGCCTGCGAGGTAGTAACACGCTAAGATGACCGCGTTATTAATTAGAATAAGAATTAGGACATCATAATAGGCAAAAGAATAAGGTAGATAGCATAGTTGCTAAATTTGTTAGAAGATTGCTAACAAAACAGGCACTAACAGCATTCTCCGCATTAATCTCCAAACACGAGCCCCCTAGCCCTTAGCAACCTGCCTTCAACTGCCTAAAACTACCAAAAATCCTATATAACTACTGTAAACAGTTAGTACAGCAGCCTCATGTATAGTACAGTATACTGAGTAGATGCCCTGTACGTACGTACGTGACCAAAATCGCTGTACTGCAGTACTGTACTATTAGGTGTACTAACGGTTGGACACACTGTGATGGGGTAGGCTTAGCCTCATACCTAAGTGAGAGTCTCACCACCCATGAGGACGTCAAAATGAGGAAAGGAAGCGAATGACGGCAGGAGAGATCTCAGAATTTGAAGCATGAAATTTCATGATAGACAGAGGGAGAAACAAGGACAGATGAGTAAGGGACTCAAAATCACGTGATCCGAGAAAGGCTCCAGAAGTTAGCTGAATTTAGATCCAACAATAATTCAAGAGGACCAGCTTGGAGTCTCTTAATAGGTCCCAGCCGATTGCGAGTATTATGAACTCAGAACACGTCCTCTAACTCAATCTTTACGAGCAGCGAACACTTTGTCTCATGACCCTTTAGATCTAGCATCCTAATGAACTTCCACCCCTGCGCAGCATACGATACTCGAAGTGCTGCAACCGCGAACGTTGGGTTGCTTGCGAAGCTATCGTCGCTTTTGATGAGGAGTCTCAAGAACACCAGCTCATTGTCCTCGTATTCCCATTCCAGCGTTTCCTTCCACAATGGATCAGTTGGCGCAGGATTTTCGCGATGAAGAAACCCTGTGATCTTATGCGGCTTATATGGAGCAGTCTTACGCTTCGTGGGGCTGTTTGCTAGGTCGTTGGGGTGGACCAAAGTACAGGTCAGGTATGGTCTGATCACATCGTCGGTGTCGCGCTTTGCCGGGATCGGAATATCTGTTGCGCCTCCGATGTGAAGTCGAAGCTTCTTCTTTCGACCTGTATTCAGATTGCCGCTACCGCCCCCTCGAAGGGCCGTAGGCTTCAATACATAGCCGTCGGATCCACTGAACAGCGCTTCATTGAGTTGCATTGGCGCGCCAAAGGTTTGCCAGTTCATAGCGCAGATCTGAGCTCCAACACCCCAAAATGGAACAGGACTCAAATTTTTTGAGGAGATGCGCGTCCCCTTTGGAAACACACGCATAAGGTGTTTAGAGTTATGTCGAGCAATTTTAGTGCTTTGAGCAGGTAAGAAGGCTTTCAGACCTGTTTCGGAGACATTGATGAGATGGTGGTGTGGCCGATTCTCAAGCTGGCTTTGAAACCACGAGGTGTTGGCAGGTTTAACGGACTGAGCATACACTCCCAATTCTGCAAGCTCCGGAATGATAGTGCCAGCATTGGTTGCTCTTCTCTGGTCTTTATAGGCTTGGTGATCTTTACGTTCATCTTCGTCCTCAGAGCTGTCGCTGCTGTCGCTGCTGGCTGCCTCGTTTGGGAGGTGATATTCGACAATAACAATGATCTTTGACCCTAACTCCTCAAGTGTAACATGCTCACCACCCTCTTCCTCACGAGTCCCTTTTTCGCGGATGGCCTTGCTTAGGAGTCTGTCTCCCCATACTTCTTTCATTATTTGCGCAAGCCGGAGTTGGCCATGGGTAGAGCAATGGTTCTCTAGAGAAAGCATGATTGGTGCAGGGTTGGAGGCCACGGCGGTCTCTTTATCGACAACATCCCGGATCGCTTCACACACCTTTCGAAATGGGATGTGCGACACGAGCGTGTACCCGTGAGTAACTTTTGGTTCCTCGTTGTCGTCATCGTTATCCCACGCGTCGATTTCGACGCAGCGAGCGCCGGTAGAAAGAGCGGTCTCGTATGCAGTAGCATTGGATGCTCCAAAGAGTTGGTGAGCTACCAGGTAAGTATTGTGACTGGAACTGACGAAGTAGTCAGGTAGAGGATGTGATCTATCTGAGACTTCTGTAGGCACGTTGACGTGAGGCTCGTTGAGGAGAGCGCGAAGGCCTTCAGTTGGCTGATCCGAATCCGAATCCAAGCCAGCATCTCTTTCGGCTAGAACACCCTCATGTACTAAGAAGGACTTCAGGGCATGGCTGACCCTGAGCCGTTCTTTCGTGATGGCCGTTGGTCGCGCAGCGTGGCCGCCGCCCGCAACTGTATTGGCGTCGGTCTCTTCACCGAGATCATCGTCGTCCACGGCCTTCTTTACCTTTGAGAAAGGACTCAATTTCGCGATTCCAGAGATAAGCTCAGACATGGCACTGTTATGTGGTGTACTATCGGGATGCGATGTGATAGGGCTGAAGAGGTGCACAGCAGCTCGGTGATGAAGACGGAGGGGTGCTGGGCTGTGGCATCGAGTGCTTGGCTTGGATCTATTATTATTTAGCGTATGCAAAAATCGACGGATGTCTTGGCGCTCTGCGAGACTTGCATTTTCTTTCATATCTCATTAACGCAAATATATTTCTTAATCAAAATAATACCCCCCGTTCTATAAGCTCTTCTCTAGGTCATATTAACATGTATATTCTATTTTAGAAAGAGATGCTGCTGTAAAGAGCAGATTTGTAACATTTTGCAAAAATTATTAAGCGAGCCCTCTAAAATTGTAGAAAAGTAGAATAACAGCCCTTATATATTATATCTTAGCAACGACGTAATAGTAATTAAGAGCAAAGGTAGAGAAAGATTTAACATATAGGAGAGATAATACTATAGGACTCTTATAGATTTACAATGTGTTGTTGTGGTCAGAAATGAGAAGGGAAGGAGAGCAATCACGTAGAGCGCCAAGAATTTTGTTGATTTTTGTATAACGTACCTATGTCAGATATGCGCACCTACTGTCAAGACAGGAGGAACGTTTGACGAAAGCTGCTACATAGTACGAGCAATAAGCTCGAACAGTATGTTGCAGCATTTTGCAGCATGTTGCAGCAAATTGCAGCATTTTACAGCATGTTGCAGCAAATTGCAGCATGTTACAGCATTTTGCAGCAAATTGCAGCATGTTGCAAGCTGGTCGCGCATAGGGCTAGTGCGCGAGGGACTCGGATCGGCAGAACAAAAAGCCGAGCAACACGAGTAGAGCAGAAAAAGGAGAAATAGGATAAGACAATTAATACAATCAATCAATTATCCCATACATCATATCTAAACCCATCATTCATCTCAGGAAGCCCAGAAACAGTGCTTCAATCTGACAATTAAGAGTCTCAGTGCCTCCATCGATACAAAATGGCCACCCAGCCTCCTCGAGACGCGATAGTCGTCCTTCGAGACCACACCAACTACAGAGCCTGGATGATGCAGCTGCAATCGAGATGTGTAGCGCACAGCATCTGGCCGCAAGTGGATCCTAAGTTGACCATCCAAATGACCTCCAAACCAAGAGCTCCAGAGATGCCGCTAATAGCTGAGTTTTCACCAGCCTCTAACGTCAAAACGCCTACGCACATGAACAAGCTATTAACAAGCGGTGTTAGAGCCTTTAAAGAAGCCATTAAATACTACAAGATTAAGGCTAACAAGTACAAGAGTAACAGACATAATTATAAAAGAGAGTAATTAAGCCTCTAACAGATTATTGTCTTTATCTAGTTAACAGTCAGCCCGCATCTGCAGCGTACATGCTGTTCCCTAGATTAACTACTTAGACAGTAGATTACAAGCCTTAAAGCTACAGTAGGCGTTAACAACTAATTTAAACAAAAACGCGCGCGCAACTAATATAATACATCCCTAAAGCTGCTAAGAAACGCGAGCATATAAGACCTGTAGCTAGCAGAGTATAATTACGCTGCCACAGAAGCAGAGACACAAAATGTTCTAGAAACAACGCAGTTTAATGCTGTTGCAAAGGACTTTCTAACTACTATAAATAAAGTTGCCCCTTATTAGTCTATAACCTTTTAGGAAAGTGGACAGTTTACACTAAACATAAATTAGAAAAAAATAATAAAGCGCTTTTAAAAACATATAATGTTAAATTATCTAATACATATAAGAAAGCATAAAGCTGCCTTTACAACAGATAACTTGTTATACTTTACTAAAAGTAGAAAGACTACCTAGGGCACAAATAGAGACACCTATAGTGCAGAAGTTATAATGTTAAGAAAATAGAGTAGACCTTAACATTAACATTATTAAAAAGATAATAAGAAGTTATCCTTAAGCTAAAAACTTACTAAAATAAGAAGCACTAAATGTCCTGCATACAGACACATTTATGCCCTAAAGGACTGCTTCTATGTCTATCTAGACAGAGCACTAGACTAGTAGATGCTAAATAAGAGAGTTAAAAAGCTTGTAGCATTAAAGCGTAAGCATAACTTAGAATTTTAAGGCCTGCTAAAAGAGCAGCGTAGACATAATTTAAAAATACTAATCTTAAAGAGTTTACATACATGTTACAGCCAACAGTCAGACCGTAATAACCCAACTGGCTGTCCCACACAGCCCGAACGATGTCGGATGGAAGACGCTTAGCCCCGCGCTAAGCGAATCACGTGATAGGACAGATGAGGAATGGCTTCAGCTTTTAGACAAAAGCCTCGCGGAGTGCACTGTCCAATGAGGACTGAAGCAATGCAGGCAATGCAGGCATTGCAGGTGGTTGCAGGCAATGCATGCAACGCCTGCAACGCATGCAAACGCATGCAAACCTTATGTATATAGTTTTGTTTATAACTATAGTTAGAAGGTTGTAATTACTATTAAGTCTATTTACTACACCCTCTTATCTAATAGACTAAGAAGCTGTGATACTTTTCTAAAGAGGACACTGCTGCCTTGTATATCTTGTACTATATATACCTCTATTCCTATCCCTACAGATTAGGTTTACTAGCTCCCTATACAGCTGCTAGGTTAAACTACAAGCCTGCCTACTTTACTTTCTTCTAACCTATACTCTGCTTAATAAACTGTACACTTAATTAAGCTAAGTTCTTCCCCTTCTGCTAACATACCTATATAGGCTAACATACTCCTAAAAAAACTATTTTGCTAGAGTAAGGATTATAACAGTAATCACCACCCCCTGCAAAGTATGGCTACTACCACCTTAGACATTGGCATGACAGGTGCTTCTGCCGCTGGCACTAGCTAGGCTCCTATAGCAACTAAAGAAGCACAAAATTAGCAGATACTCTATCTCTAAAACAAGCTTAAACAGCTTAAACAGCACCTCTAGCTATAGGCATAATAAGGACCTTTAAATGTTTACTAGATCTAGGCCCTATCGCTAGAAGTAGCAAACCTTAGAAACATTACTTAAAAAAGAACTAGCATTAAGTCTAAAAAGACCCTACGCTTAGCCCTTTCTAAAGCATTTAATAGCTCTACTAAAGACTTAAAACTCTTCTTTACTAAGTGCTACTTTTACATGCAATACAATAAAGGTGCCTTTAGAATAGACAAAAAAATAATTTTATAAATAAGCTTATATTTAGAAAGATTGCCTACTATTTAGTTCTAACTTTACACTAATAATTAGATAAACTATAAGGTAAACAGCAAGCCTTTACTACTAGAAATATAAAAGGTCTTTAATAACCTTAATTTATTTAAAATAGCCCTAACTGTAATCTATAAGCTAGTTAATAAAAAAAAACAAGTAGTTAATAAGATAGACACTCTCTAACAAGGTAATAGCTCTGTCTAACAATACGCAGCCCACTTTAGGGAACTGCTAGCTATTTACAGATGGACAGACAAGAAAGCTATAGGACAAATGTTTTATAAAGGACTTTTAGATACTATTAAAGACAAATTTACTTATAATAAAAAGCCTAAGAGCTTTAAAGATTATATTAAAAAAGCACTTACCTACAATAAAAAACACGCTAAGTAACATAGTAAAAAAAAAAAGGCTAGACAACTAAAAAAGCTAACTAGTTCTAGAAGAAGAAGAAAGTTCTATAGGCTAACAGTAAGCCTATAGACCTTAGTTATGCTAAACACACACATAGCTTTTCTAAGAAAAAGAGTAATACCTCTAAAAGTGTAAGGCCACCTTTAAACAAAAAATAGAAGAAATAGCTTAAAAAGAAGGTATACTTTAACTATAAAAAAGTAAGCTACTTCTATTAAAAATGCCTAGACTCTAAATAACTAGAGAATAAAGATAGCAGCCTGTCTATAAAAGCAATGCACATAGAATAAGGTCTAACAGAACAAGAAATTCTAAATAGACTAGACAAACACCTCTACTAGTAATATAGAGGAAATTATAAATCTAAAGGATGCCCTATAGAATACTAGAAAGTTAAAGTATAAGATAATAATAAAGTCTTTAGAGCACTAAAACAAGCTGCTACTTATAAGAGATAGTAAGGCTACACCTAAGCTGCAACATATGTTGTAAATGTTAAAAAAAAGAAAGAAAAGTTTTTTTTTAAATAACTAATAACAGAAATCTCTACTTAAGAACTAAGATATTAATTTACTTACAGGGACTATTAAAAATGCGGCAACACACACTAATTAAAGGACTGTAGAAAGTTAATGTATAAAGTACACATTAATAATAATGTTAAAACCTATAACGTACCTAACGGGTTAGCCGGCCACACGGGTTGGCCGGCCACTTTTGCCAAGCCCCCACTAAAACCACCCCATTCTCTCGCAAAACAGCCCACTTTAGCCCTGTATAAAGTAATACAACACAAGATATTATTTAGAGTCTACTTCTACTACTTGCTTACACGTACGCAAGTTATGCCTAGTCTAATTGCACTGCCTACATTGCCTTTAACTTAGCTTACCTTCTTTAGCGTGCACCTGCGTCTTTAGCTTCTTCCTATTACTACGCGCTCTAAACTCCTTTAGAGCAGTTAGACAAGCTCTATCCTTAACTATTAAGGTCCTTTTTGCCTAAATCTACTTCTTTTTATGTAATCTATGTCGCGTAGCAGCCTTATTTGCTGCTTAAAGCTCTGTAATCTTATAGCCTACTCTATTACATTAATACCCTAGATAACTGTTGTCTACTTTCTATTACCTTACTATATTACCTTTAGCTGTCTTTGTCTCTCTAAAGCTGTAATAACTGCTCTAGTTAATATCTAGCCTATTATAAAGCTTAACTTGTTAAAGTTATACCTGTCTTTATTCTAAATACTGTACTTAGCTTTTATGTTAGCTACTAGGTAAAACTAGCTCTAGATAACCTCTAGATCTTTATAAAGCACTCTTTTATAATTTTACTTATAATTAAACTTTATTATAAACTTAGGGCAGTGCTTAACCTACATACTAGTCTAGTTTAAGCTAACCTAGCCTAGATTGCGCTCTATAGGCAAGGAATTAGCTATATTAGCTACAGCTATAAGCCTAGGGGGAAATCTGCGCGTAATAAGCTTAAGTATGTACTTAATAACTACCTTTTTTTTAAGCTTAGTTAGATTCCTTAATTTAGGCTAGCATTCTGCTTGTAAA